TAAGCTAAAGCTAAGCTACAGCTAAGCTAAAGCTAAGCTAAAGCTTAGCTAAAGCTAAGCGAAAGCTAAGCTGAAGCTAAGCTAAGGCTAAGCTACAGCTAAGCTAAAACTAAGCTAAAGCTAAGCTAAAGCTAAGCTGAAGCTAAGCTAACACTAAGCTGAAGCTAAGCTAAAGCTAAGCTGAAGCTAAGCTAAGGCTAAGCTAACGCTAAGCTGAAGCTAAGCTGAAGCTAAGCTAAAGCTAAGCTAAAGCTAAAGCTAAAGCTAAAGCTAAAGCTAAAGCTAAAACTAAGCTAAAGCTAAAGCTAAGGCTAAAGCACCCAAGGGACTGGGGGAACCGCGGGGCGGGGACTGGGGGAACCGCCCGGGGCGGTTTCCATTGCCCGGCCCTTTAAGCAAAGAGAGTAAGAACCCTTCTAGGCAGAGCCTAGGTAGGGAATCTTATGCGTTTGCTCTTCATTACCATATATGCGCAATCCTGCGTTCTAAACCCTCGTCGCGAATGTTGCCCTATATGTTGTCATCCAACACGCTACTGAGTGAACCTCCGCCCTCTTCCCCGCTTTCTATCCTTCATCGGGAACAAGTTCGAGGGTCACCGAGGTCCGTTTCCTGGGATCGCAACAACCGATGAGGTGATGCAAAACGATTTGCCACAGCTCGAACAGTCAGGGGGCCCACTGTGGAAGTTGGTGCAAATCGCACCCCCTCGCCTCATGCTGCGTTCTCCCGCACTCCTGCCTCCCTTTCTGCCCTTAGTCGGTCTACTCTTTCTAGTCTCATGCAGTTTCCACGCGTCTGTCGCCGCGCCTCTTCGACGGAGAGTCTCTAAGGTGCGCGCGCAATAGACTTGCGCGGCAAACGTGATACGCCTGCGTGTGATATGCGAATGCCCTTCGATGGATAACCTCTGGGCTGTGGTTGCCACGACAATCAAAGCTGGGCGGGCGCTCCGAAATCGTCCAGGAGCGGCGTGGGCCGCGCGAGTTCGACGCGGCTGGACAGCGCTGCCTTTGTCGGAAAGACTCTGGCGGCTGTGCGAATCTGCCATGCCTGTTGTGCCCTGGACGACCGTCACGGAAAGAGGCCGCGGTGAGAAACCACCCCCTGCGCACCCCTCTGGTGTCGAGAATATGCCATGCCTGCTGTGCCCTGGACGACCGTCACGCATAGAGGCCGCGGTGAGAGACCACCCCCTGCGCACTCCCTATGGTGTCGAGAATATGCCATGCCTGCTGTGCCCTGGACGACCGTCACGGATAGCGGCCGCGGTGAGAAACCACCCCCTGCGCACCCCCTCTGGTGTCGAGAATATGCCATGCCTGGTGTGCCCTGGACGACCGTCACAGATAGCGGCCGCGGTGAGAGACCACCCCCTGCGCACCCCCATATGGTGTCGAGACAATGCCATGCTTGCTGTGCCCTGGGCGACCGTCACGGCTAGCGGCCGCGGTGAAAGACCGCCCCCTGCGCACCCCCTTCTGGTGTCAAGAATCTGCCATGCCTGCAGTGCCCTGGACGACCGTCACGGATAGCGGCCGCGGTGAGAGACCACCCCCTGCGCACCCCCATATGGTGTCGAGGATATGCCATGCCTGCTGTCCCTCTGGTGTCGAGAGTATGTCATGCCTGCTGTGCCCTGGACGACCGTCACGGATAGCGGCCGCGGTGAGAGACCACCCCCTGCGCACCCCCTATGGTGTCGAGAATATGCCATGCCTGCTGTGCCTGGACGACCGTCACGGATAGCGGCCGCGGTGAGAAACCACCCCTGCGCACCCCCTATGGTGTCGAGAATATGCCATGCCTGCTGTGCCTGGGACGACCGTCACGGATAGCGGCCGCGGTGAGAGACCACCCCCTGCGCACCCCCTCCTGTGTCGAGAATATGCCATGCCTGCTGTGCCCTGGACGGCCGTCATGGATAGCTCCGCGTGAGATACCCCCCCGCGCGCACCCTTCTGATGTCGAGAATGCCCATGCCTGCTGTGCCCTGGACGACCGTCACGGATAGCGGCCGCGGTGAGAGACCACCCCCTGCGCACCCCCTTATGGTGTCGAGAATCTGCCATGCCTGCTGTGCCCTGGACGACCGTCACGGATAGCGGCCGCGGTGAGAGATCACCCCCTGCGCACCCCCTCTGGTATCGAGAAAATGCCACGCCTGCCACGCTCTCCGACCCTAGCACCCATAGAGGCCGCGCTGAGAGACCCCCCCCTGCGCACCCCCTCTGGTGTCGAGAAAGTACCCAGTATGGTGTGCATGCGTCTTGAATGTATGATGCAGTGAACGCGCCACGCGTGTCTCACTCGCGTGCCCTGCGGCTGTATGTTGAGAAAGTGCAACGCCTGTTCTGCGCCATGGCCCGCATAGAACCTCCTTCCATGCACGGCGAATCCTACACGCACGTCTGTGAGGGGGGTACCTCATGTGGGTGCCCAGTATGTTGTGCATGCGTGTTGAATGTATGATGCAGTGAACGCGCCACGCGTGTCTCACTCGTGTCTCATGTACGTGCCGTGGATGTGTTGCTTGTAGGTGAATGGAGGAAGCAAGCGGAGGAGGGGAGGAGGGAGGAGGGGAGGTGTGTGTGTGTGTGCGTGTGAGGAGACGCTGGTGCGACGCGGCAGGGAAGAAAACCAGAACCCCACGAAACATGTGGGGAATAACCCCACCAAGCATGTGGGGAACAACACCACCACCACCACCACCACCACCACCACCACCACCACCACCACCAACAACAACAACAACAACAACAACAATTACTAGCACGTGGGGACACTCCGTTCTCACCAGTGCCAGGGTTTTCATAGGAGGCGGGCAATACCCCCACTTTGTGGGGGGGCCGGTTCAAGCTCTACCAAATTTCCAAACGACTCTTCGCCACCACCCACACCCAGCTTCCCGCCCTATGACGTTCGGACACTTCACTTCGTGGCATGCGGACGACCGTGGCTACTATTCAGGGCCCCGCGGCCGACGACGACGGCGTGCGCGCGCGAAGAAAAAACGAATGTGTCCCGCATGGTATTATTTGACAGGGATGATGGCCCTGGCAGGTGCGCAACCGTTGTCGCAGAAGTTCGAAAAAGTTGCTCGCAAAAGCCCGTTTGACAGAAATGTTTAAAAAGTGTTGGGTTTCCTACGAATCCGCAAGAGCGCGCGGGATGAGATTTTGACATTTTTTGTTGAAAAACCATTGGTTTTTTGATGTTTTTATGTTAAAATCGCTCCGAACACTAAGCTTTTGGAAGGATTTCGTCTTGCGCGCGCGAATGTCCACTTTACCTTATTTTTTGCAAGGGATTCTTGAAATTTGATTATATTAGAACAAGAAATGTCATTTTCTATTGTTTTTTGCAAGGGAAAGCGGATTACAACAAAACAACCGGATCCTGTACACACCCTCTTTTCTGAGGCTTCCTCACGAAAATGATGAAAATGTAGCTGCGGCCTAGGCGGCGCAGGGGGGGCGCGCACCAGGGGGCCCAACAATAATTATTCTTTAGAATAAATAATGTTCAACAACACCAACAACACCAACAACAGCACAACAACAACTCCGAGAACGACAACAGCAGCAACAACAACACCATCAACAACACCATCAACAACACCAGCAACAACAATAATATCATCAGCGTCAACAACAACGACGATCACAACAACAAAACTTGCCGATGCTGATCGAGACTCGCTGCCCGTCGGAATCGAAACGCACGCCGCGCACTCAGGACGGACAACGCCCACCCAACAGCGGCCGCTGTCGGTTTTGGACAGCGTCTGCTGCCGGACAGCGCCCCCGTTCTTTCCGTCCCCACTCGGGGCGTGCGCCAAAAGGGACGGGAGAGCAGGCAAGGGTCAGGAGACCAATTCTTTGAGAGGGGGAGGAGCTTCGGGGAGGGAGAGGACGGGGGCGAGAAGGGGGAGAGAGAGAGAGAGAGGGGGGAGAGGGAGGGAGGGAGGGAGGGAGAGGGAGAGGGAGGGGGCGGAAGACGCGGGAAGGGGGGGGGGGAGAGGGTTGGGAAGATCGAGGGAGGAGGGGAGGGGTGGGGGAGAAGAGGAGAGGAAGAGCGCGAAGAGAGAGGGGGGAGGGATGGGGGGGGAGGGGGATGCCCGCTCCCGACTGCTCCCGCGGTCCCGGCTGCCCCGCAGCGCGGGCGGAGCACCCCTCGTTCGCAACAGAGGAGTAGCTGAACAAAAAAGCCGCTGCGGCGAGACGGGTGCAGCACCGCCAGAGTCAAACAGAGGCGCACGGGTGTGCAGGGGTACGGCGGGTTCACGTCGCGATGGCGTCGGCAGTGGTGTCAGGCACCTCGTGGATCGTTCAACCTCGAACAGTCGCGGTTGCCAAATAAAGCAGGCACGGAATTACGACGATGCATCTTGCCATGAGAAGTCTAGGGGCGCATCCTTCGTCGAGTCTGCGTTTCGTAAGGTGCCCGAGGCCTCTGCGGACCCATAGGGAGATAGGAACCTCACGTGGAGCAACCGTTGGCGAGCCGAATTCTTGTTTGGCGTGCCTAAAGTAGCGCGGATCGTTCGATATCGGCTTTGGGACATTGGCTCTCCAAGCGGTGGATCCGTCTAAGCCCTGGCCTCCGAGCTGGTGACACCCCCTGGACCCCTGCAAGGCCTTCTGGCAGCACAGGCCACCGGACCTCGCGCCTCTTGCCGCCCAAAAAAGCGCGACGCCTCGCGCTGCTCTTCGCGGCCACCGCGCCTCGCCGTCCTTCAGGACCCCGGGGACGGGGTCTCCGATGAGCCAGGACGCTGGCGCACCCGAGAAACCTGCGGCCGTCGGGGACGCGCTGGCCCCGGGTCAGTGCCAGCGCGAGTCAAGCGGGCCTTGCAGGATCCTGCAGGTTCTGCGCGCTAGCCCGGGCCAATGCACCACTGGCTCTGCAGGATCCTGCAAGATCTGGCGCTCTGGCTGACCACCAGTTGCACCGACCCCCGTCTCTTGAGCCCCGAAGCCGTGGGCCCAAGCACTCTCCGGTGGTCGGTCTTCTCACGCTGGGATCTTGCGGGGTCCCGGCCTGCAGTGTCCTCGTCTACGGGGGCGCTGGGTCCTGGACAGAGGGGCGGCTCCGCTGGAGTCCTGGCCGCGAGGCGCGAGGAGGCGGCGGTGTTCGCACCCCGTGCGGGTGGCCTCGACGCAAGGCAAGACGCAACGCCCTGGGTCGCCCATGCCGAAACCGAGGATGTGAAATCCGCCGACCCCCGTGTGGGGCCACCAGGCTGTAGGCCGAAGTTGCTGCTCCTTGCGCCAATTGCAGTTTCAAGTCTCCAGTGTTACAATTCTGCTGTCTGCTGTCTGATTCCTGCTATAAATTGTTGAAGTCCGCGCGAGGGGGGGAGCCCAAAACCAGCAATTTACAACGCCCGGATCGCGTGCTCTGAATTCCCGGGGGGCCGTGGGGCATAAAAAATGCATGAGATTCGCGCCCCCGAGGCCATAATCCCTTGCAAATTAACCCATATTCGCGTCCTCGAGACCACAAACCCTAGTACATGGTACAATTGCTGTGTCCCCGGAGTAACAAACCTTAGTCAATTACTCCAGATTCGCGTCCCCGAAGCCATAAGCCTTCGCAGATTACGCCGTGTTCGCATTGCAGAGGCCACGAGTGCTCCAAGGCCCCGAAGATGGTTCCAAGACGGCCCAAGAGGGTAAAAGGAGGCCCCAAGAGCGCTCCAAGAGGCCTCCCGAGAGAGCCTCAAGAGGGCAAAATCGCAGATGTCACAACGGTTTTTGAAACATGTTGGCCTTCTCGCATTTTCGGCTTCCGACGTTCCAAGACGGCTCAAGAAGCCCCCAAGACCGCCCCAAGACAGCCCAAGACGTCTCCAAGAGGGCCCCAAGACGGCCCAAGAGGGTTCCAAGATGGCCCAAGAAGCGCTCAACACGGCCCAAGAGGGCCCCTAGACGGCCCCAAGAGGGGCCCAAGCAGAGGACCACGAACCGAACATTCGACATCTGTGCCCCGAGAATCCCCCAGGAGGCCCCAGGAGGCCCAAAGAGGCCGTGAAGAGGCCCCGAGAGGCGCCCAAGACGCGCCCCAGAGGCCTCCAAGAGGCCCAAGATACCCCACGAGGCCCAACAGGCCCCAAAGAGGCGCCCAAACGGCCTCCCAAGAGGCCCCCGAGAGGCTCCCCACGACACCCCAACACACACACACACACACATATACATATATATATATATATATATATATATATATACATAAATATAGATGTATGTATGTATGTTGTATGTATGTATGTATATATATATATATATATATATATATATATATTCATATACACACAAACATACATACATATTTATATACATATTTATGTGTGTATGTATATATCGGAGGTGAGGGGGTGAGATCGAAGTGCAACGGAGAGCCCCCCCACCGGGAAATCGATTTCGGTTTCGTGTTCGTGCGTGCCGTGCGTGCGGGCGAGGCGAAGCTGCGTGGGCGGGCGAGAGAAAGTCTCCTGTGGCTGAGGCGCGGCCGGACCAAATTACTCCCTTCCGGGCGGCCGGGGGCCCGCGGTGTCCCGCCGGTGTGTGCCGATGATGATATTGATGATGATGTTGGTGATGATGATGCTGCTGATGATGATGGTGTCCCGATGTTGTTGATGATGTTGATGATGATAATGAGCTGATGATGATGATGGTGTCCCGATGTTGTTGAGGATGTTGACGATGAAGATGATGGTGACCATGATGGTGTCCCGATGATGATGATGATGATGATGATGATGATGTTGATGGTGATGATGACGATGGCTGTCCAGATGATGATGATGATTATGATGAGATGATGACTGCGTTGATGATGATGGCATGATGATGATGGCGTTGATGATGATGGCGATGCTGATGATGTGAAGATGACAGTGTCCCGATGACGATGGAGATGGTGGTGTTGTTGCTGATGATGATGATGACGTTGAATGTTATATCGATTGTGAGATCGATAGTGAGACCGAATGTGGGATCGATTGTGAGATCGATAATCAGATCAATTGTGAGACCGAGCGAATGAGATATAGAGATCGGTTGTGAGATCGATCGAGTGAAATCGATCGAGCGAGACCGATAGTGAGATGGATAGTGAGACCGATCGAGTGAGACGCTGCATCCTCCCCCCCCGAACCTCCTTATCACCCGAAGGGTGGTCGTATAGGTATATATATATATATATGAGTCCCCCGCAGCTGCGGAAAGAGAGAGTGTGCTTGGCGGCGCTCTTAGAAGCCACGACGCGCTCGCTGCTAGCGGGATTTGAACCGAAACCGCTTCGAACACACCGCCCCTCTTCGGTGAGCCCTCCAAGCGTGACAGTGTGGTCTCCCAGCGTGGCCTCCAAGCGTGGCCTCTCATCGTGGCATCCCAGCGTGGCCTCCCAGCGTGGCCCCCCGGTGTGGCCTCCCAGCGTGGCCTCCCAGCGTGGCCTCCTAGCGTGGCCGCCGGAGAGACGACCCCAAGACGGACGAAAGCGAGCAAGGACAGAGTAAGACCGCTCGGGCACCCTCTCTCTGACAAGATGCCTCAGACCCACAACCCAGGCACAATGGCAGGATGGATCAAAGGCCACTGGAATCCGCCGCCTCCTGTTGGCTTGCCACAGGGGTGCCTGGCGTGCTGGATCCTTTATGTTTTGGTTTTGGCTCTTTTCCAAAAGAACTCTCCCCTGGGGCTCTGGCCCAGCCCGCCGGCCACCCGGAAGGACCCAGAAGGGATCGCAAGACCCGGTTGCCAAGGTTTTTCCTGCTCCAGACGGTTCCAAGATGGCCCAAGGTGGCCTCCAAGGTGCTCCCAAGGCGGCCAAGATGGCCTCCAAGACGGCCTAGAAAGCCCCAATATGCATCCAAGACGGCTCAAGATGCAACGACGACGGCCTAAGGTAGTCTCAAGATGGCTCGAGACGGCCCAAGAGGCCTCCAAGACGGGCCAAGACGCTTCCAAGAGGACCCCTAGGAAGGCCCGAAGAGGCAAAAAACATGGATGTTCCTTAGGTTTTTGAAGGATTTTGGCATTTGCGCCTTTTCGGCCCTTCGAAGGCCCAAGAGGCCCCCGAGATCGTCCCAAGACCGCCCAAGAGGCCTACAAGATGGCCCAATGACGGCCCAAGACGCCCCAAAGAGGGCCCCAAGACGGCCCGAATGGCCGCCAAGACACGCAAGATGGTCTCCAAGACGGCCCTCAGGCGCCCCTAAGAAGGGCCCCAACACGGCTCAGAGAGGCACCCAAGACGGCTTACGACGGCGTCAGACGGGCCAGGAACGCCCTGAGACGGCCCAAGGGGCCCCCAAGAAGCCCCCACAGGCCCAAGGAGGCCCCCAACAGGCCTCCAAGAGGCCCCCAGGAAGCTCCCACGAGGCCCCAAAAGTGTCCCAAGAGGTTCCCAAGAGACCTCCTCCTCCTCCTCCTCCTCCTCCTCCTCCTCCTCGTCCACCTCCACCTCCACCTCCACCTCAACCTCCTCCTCCTCCTGCTCCTCCTCCTCCTCCTTCCCCTCCTCCTCCTGCTCCTCCTCCTCCCTCGTCTCCTCCTCCTCCTTCCTCCTCCTCCTCCTCCTCCTCCTCTTCCTCCTCCTCCTCCTCCTCCTCCTCCCATCATCCTAATCCTCATCCTCATCCTCATCCTCCTCCTCCTCCTCCTCCTAATCATCGTCATCTTCCCTCTCCTGCTCCTCCTCCTCCTCCTCCTCCTCGTGCTCCCCCACGCGTTCCCCGAAGGCTTTCCAAACCATTATCGGGGAACAACTGGCCCGATAGCTTGGCCGAGCTCTAGCCCAGCTGTCGGCCACATAGGCGCTTCCAAAAGAGCAGGGGGCGGCGGTGAATCGCCGTATTCGTCTTCGATAACGCCAACGTCTCAATATGCGCTGATGATTCCGATCCGCCCCCGCATGATGTTCCCAGATGTACCAAGGCAGCGCCGAGACGCACCGACACGACTCTGATACATATATATATATATATGTAAATATGTATATATATGTAGATATTATATATATGTCCCCTTCTGAAAGAGAGGGGGCCGGCGGCAGAGGGCGAAGCCCTCACGGATAAATAGGTTGGAGGTCGCTGGGGGTGGGGCAGCGTTGTTTACAGGGCCGGATCCAATTACGCTCGTCCGGCGCCCTTGATCCGTCAATAGCAATCATTCCGACCCCAATTCGCAAGAGGCTCGAATCTTAGGTTTGCTCTTGCCGACGATCAGGCTGCTTAGGTTTGCACTCACCCTGCGAGCTTGACCCCCTCCTCCGTCGCCCCAGAAGCATAGATCGCGCTCGCTGCCCCTCAGTGATATTCAAGATATAGGCGCCACCATCCCAACCTCCGTGGGGTCACAGACGCAGAGAGGTCGAGCCATCGTGGCGACGCGGAGGGGGGATACCTGCACAGCGAGAGAAGGCGCCACGAGCACACCCCACCCGCCCACACTGACGAGCCATTGTGGCGACATGGTGGCGGGGGTCATGTTTCGCGCCTGGAGGGGCAACGCTGCAGCGGCTACAGGCCACAACACGGAGCCGAGCAGACGGGATGCCAGTGCAGCCCTGCGTCCTGACCACCGAGTCTGTCTGCAGGCCACGAGCACGTTGTCCTGGTCGAAGTGGAGAGGGAAGAGGTGGAGGAGACTTTCTCGTGGCGGCATGCCGGGGCGCGCGCTGTCCATGCCACCCGGCCTACGCTATGATCGGCTGCGGCGGCTCCGAGTCCGCGCCCGCGCACTCGCCTACGGATCTGGACTGGCGGGTGGGCTCGCACTCCGAGCACCAGAAGGTGTAGTTCCGTGGAGTCGGCCGCCCGCCTGCGTTCCCGCACGTGGCCGAAAGCTCGCACAAGGTCGACAAGATACTGTGGCAGCTCATGGCACTGCCGTCGCAATCGATTTTCAGCACGGTGCCCACCTGCGAGTCGACCTTGGGGACCGGGTCGCCGTCGGGCACGACGTTGACGCCCGAGTGGCGCAGCCTGGACAACCCGGGCGGGCTCCAGAAGATCCGCTCGGTGGCGTAGAGCCCCGGGGCGGAGAACGTCACGGCCGTGACGTTCTCGAGCGCACCCACCAGCTGCGCGAAGCCGCCGCCCAGGGAGTGGCCGACGACATAGAGGGCGCCCTCGCCGCCCTCCCCCCGCACCCGCCTCTTCAGCTCCCGCACGTACTCCACCAGGGGCACCGGCTGGCGGCCCGCCCCCATGTGGCTCCGGTCCCGGTCGCCCCCGAGGGGCTCGAGCCAGGCGGCGAGGCCGGTCACGGCCTCGAGGATGCGGGACATGGAGTCTGGGACGTGGGGCCCCACGAGGTCGGCCAGCTGCAGGGAGACGGCGGGCAGCCAGATGTTGAGGTCCTGGAGGACGTCGTACAGGGTCTTGGTGCCCCTCACGGCGACGACGTGCGTCCTGCCCTTCGTCAGGTGCATGAAGCTGACGCCCTTGAAGTCCTTCTGCTCCGTCTGGTTGACGGTCCAGCCAGGCAGGATCCGCTCAAGCTCCTCTTCCGTCTCGGACTGATTCTTGTAGGCGATCCGAGACATGTGTGCGAAGTCAACCAAGCTGAGCCGGTTGTCGTTGCAGCGTGTCGACACGATGTCATCGGGAGCCATAGGCCAGGACAGGCCGCAGAACGCATAGCCCGTGCTGACAGCCTCGGGGAGCAGAGGGAACTTGAACTCCCTGCCGGCGCGCCCGACAGGCCTCCCTGGGAGGGTCTTGCCTGGCACCGCCGCGACCGCGCAGAGCGTGGCGCTGGCGATGCCGACCAGCAGCACGAAGAACAGGGCCATCAGGAAGCGGTGGGCCTGGTGCCCGCGCTCCCTCCACGCGCCCATCTGCGTCACCAAGATGAGGCAGGCCGTGCGCAGCACGCCGACCCGGCCCTGCAGGTGCCCCATGGCGGCCAGGGCCAAGACGGCGAGGCCCAGCAGGTTCAGGAGCATGACCTTCCAGAGGTCGTCCGTTCTGTAGTAGGCGACGGAGCCCACGACAACGGCCCAGATCCCCACGAGAGAGGCAACGATCCTGATCAGCACGGTCGTCCCAATCGCGAATGCGCCCAGGGAGAGCGCAACGATGACCGCCGACTTCCAGAGTATCCTGGTGGGCAGCACTCCGCAGTGTATGAGGAAGCAAAGGGACCAGTGGCTGGAGGCGGCACCAAAGGGCCGGCCGAAGGAGAAGGACGCCTGGTCATCATGCTCGCTGCCAGACCGGCCGGAGTCCCCCAGTATGCTCACCGTCAAGCTGTGACACCAGCCCCCGAGACGGTAGCGCAGCAAGAACGAGGCCCAGAGCGCAAACGCCAGCCAAAGCGCGAACAGGAACGCCGCCGTGCGCCCCTGCTCCCTCCGACAGCACAGAATGCCGGTGGCCACTACAGCGACCGCGAGGTACCCGAGAAGCAGCCGGCCGCACCGAGCTTCACCCGAGAAGCAGTTCCGCGCGCAGACGCAGATGTTTCGGAGGAGGGCCAACTAAGGCAACGGCGGCTCGCCCGCCAGGCCCGCCTCCGCTCAACATCGGGGGCGGCCACGAGGGGGGCGTCCAAGAGGGGGGGGCGCAAATCATGGCCGGCGGCATGCGCGCGGCCCAAGGGGGGGGCCAGGGCTGCAATGAAAGAAGTAGAGGCGCCATGAAATCTGGGAAGATATCATGGCCCACGCCATGATATCCACACACACACACACACCCTACTCATCACCCCCCTCTTAAGATGCCGCCCCCGCTCAACACTGACCCCCAGACCCCCTCCCGGGGCCCGACCTGACTCGTCCTCCGAGGCGGGCCCAGCCGCGGCGACGGGAGGCCTCAGGGAGGCCCGGAAGAGACAAGAGACGCCAGCCCCGAGATCCGACGCTGGGAGGGCAAAACTCTGCGAGGCAGGGATCTATACCCATGTCCACCGCCTGGGAACCGACGTCCTGGTGCCCCAGCGGGCGGTGGATATGGACATATTTTGGCCCCCCAATATGTCTATCTCCACCGCCTGCCGAGCTCCCCGAAAATTGATCCTCCAGGCGGTGGTCACGCATAAATTCTGGCCTCGGAAAAAACTCCCACTCCCGGGTTCGACGTCGTGAAGGCAAACAGGGGCGGAAGATCCGACGCCGTGAGACATTGCAGCGCCCAGGCCGCACGGGAACCTTCCACCCGCGCCGCTTGCTGTCGGTTCCGGAGCCCGGCGGGAGGCCGCCCAGGAGGGACGGACATCGCCTGCTCGAAGGCTGCCTGTTGCCTCGACGGGCCCTCCTCCGAGATGTTGAGCTCGTCCTCGCGGCCGGGCGGCCTGCGGGCCGCCGCGAGCGCCTGCTCGGGGCACGCGCCAAGCACCTCCCGCGCTTGCCCCAGGAAGTAGAGCCGGTCGGACCTGCTGAGGGTTCACGGGCGGGGCTCTGAGGGACGGGGCCCTATCGGGCATCGGGCCGGGCGAGAGGGGGGGAGAGCAAAGGAGGGGGGGGTGAGAATCAGCTCGCGTAGCTGATTTTCCCGGCGCCTCCCGGCGCCAGAGGCGACGATGTATCGAGGAATGGGCCCCTCGGTGGGGCCGAAACCAGCTGCACGCAGCAAAGTTCGTAACCCCCCCTCTCCCAATCCCCCCCTCTCGTCTGGCCTGAAGGTAGACGAGGGATCTCAATCCGAACCTTAGGGGGCCCCATCCCTCAGGGCCCCACACGAGCGACGAAAATGCAGGGGCCTTACGCGAGCAGACATACCGACCTCGCGCGGTGACCAGCGCAAGCCACCAGCGCGGCACGCTACACTGGAAGCGAGGGCGCACATGCGCCAGCTTACGTAGGCAGCTTGCGCGCGAGGGGCGGCGTGGCTGATCCCGCTCTTCTTTCGGCGACTCCGATTGGTGTGGCTTGCAAAGGCTGTGGTCTGCAGCACGCATCCTGGGCGGCGGCCGAGGACAACAACAGAGCTCTCCGCCGGGCCCCGAGGCGGCCCGACGAGGGCCACGTGGTGCCCCCCCAAGCCCAAGCGGCGCCGATTGTACACCACTCCCCGGCCCTAACCTTTGCTGTCGCCTAAGTTGCCCCGATACGCAACACGCAACACGTAGCGTATCGATACGGAGCTCAACACGTAGGCTGAAAACGTAGGTCCGACGCGATACATTCGCCAAAACGTGGCCCAATACGTGGAGCCAACACGCAACGTATTGACACGGACGTCTTGAACACGGGACGTATTGCGTTTCAAAACAAGCGTATCGAGGCAACTAAGGCTGTCGCTGGTCCGCTCATACTTGCATCGCCGAGGCCTGTTCTGCATCGCGCGCGGGGACGGCGCCGCGAGGCTGCCTCGCCGCGAGGCCGGCGGGCTGGTGCCGGGGCTGCCGGTCGAGCCCGACGGGCCCCGCGGGCGCAGCTGGAGGCTCGCCTCGCCCTGGCGCGGCGATGCTCAGGGGAGGAACGGAGACCACCGCCACCGAGCACCGATCACCGAGGGGGAGGAGGAGGAGGAGGAGGAGGAGGAGGAGGAGGAGGAGGAGGAGGCGGAGGAGGGAGGAGGAGGAGGAGGAGGAGGAGGAGGAGGAGGAGGAGGAGGAGGAGGAGGAGGAGGAGGAGGAGGAGGGGAGGAGGGGTAGGGAGGGGGAGTCGAGATGGGATCTGCTCCTCCCGCGCCGACCTCCTGCCCCCTCCCTCGCCCCCCCCCCCCCTTGCCCGCTGCCCTGCAGGGAGAGGCGGCTGTCCCGCGGCCCCGCCCTGCAGGGAGGGGGGAGGGGGGGGGGAGGGAGGAGGGAGGAGGGAGGGAGGGAGGAGGGAGGAGGGAGGGAGGAGAGGAGGAGGAGGAGGAGGAGGAGGAGGAGGAGGAGGAGGAGGAGGAAGGAGGAGCTGTGAGCAAAAATAGCAGAACCCACCGGCGTGCCGCCGACCCATGGGCGGTGGCACGCCCGAGCGTCGTCCAGTGCTGGGTGACGACGCTCGGGCGTGCCGCCGCCCAGGAGTCGGCCCCCCCCCCGGTGGGTTCTCGGTGGCGGCGGTCTCCGGTTCTCTTCTGGGATGCGGGCGAGGAGCCGCGGAGGGACTGCGAGATGGGCGGCCGATCGACGGAGCTGCCCAGCATCCTGGCCCAGCACCTGGCCCAGCATCCCCGCTGGTGGAAGAGCAGGTTGCCCAGCACCAGCGCCTTAAAGAAGTAGTCCATGGCCGTGGACCAGCAGAAGTAGAACACCGTGTGGGCACAGGCGACCAGCACCGCGGCGTCGACGAAGCGGCCCGCGGGGCCGCCATCGTCGGCGCCGAGGGTGCCGGCGGAGCCGAAGAGGGCCCAGAGCACCGGCAGTACGTCCAGGGTAAGGTAGATGCAGCACTGCCACAGCACGTCCACCACCGCCCGCATGAGACCCCCGCAGTGCTCCCCGCGGAAGGCCGCGGGGCGGGCCGTGACCCGGAAGACGAGGGTGGCCGGAGGGTCCAGCTCCAGCTCCAGAATGTGGTCCCTGTGCTCCTTGTCGGCCATGCTCCCCTCGAGCAGCAGCTTGGAGCCCCGGGAGAGGAGCAGCTCGGAGCCGCGGCAGGCGCCTCTCTTCAGGGAGATGTCGTCCATCAGGGTGCCGTCATCGGCGACCGCGCGGTGGATCTTCTGTCTCTCGGCATCGCTGTTCACAGAGACGTGGTTGGTGCGCAGGGGCGGGAAGCTGCCCGGCCCCGCACCCTCGCAGCACAGAGTTCGGCGGTAGTCGATGAACATGTCGTCCTTGAGGCAGTCCTTGATCAACCACACCGCGCGCAGGGCGCAGCTCACGAACATCAGGCAATAGAGGAGGGTGTTCGCGAACGTGGCCAGCACGATCGCCCAGTGATCGACCTTCAGCAGTGGCACCTCTTGGCCCTGGCGTCGCTTCTCCATCTCCTGCGTCAGCTGCAGGAAGAGGCTCAGGAAGGTGGAGGCGGCCATGCCCACGATGATCGGGATGGCCATGACGAAGGCCCACGCGTGGTAGACCTTCAGGATGCGCACGAACCACGAGGCCCGAAGGTCCCGCACGGTGTGGAGGCTCCTCGCCTCCTCGGCGCTGCCCGCGGAGGATTGCGAGGTGGCCCTGTCCCACCCGAAGGCCGCTGCCGCTGCTGCGGCGCCGGGATCCGTGTCCAGGCTGGTCCTTGATGGGCCAATGTCCCACCACCACTGCCATTGGTAGGACGGGGGCGAAAGGAGGAGGGGGAGGACCTCCTTCTCCCCCTCCCCCTCCCCCTCCCCCTCCCCCTCCCCCTCCCCCTCCCCCTCCCCCTCCCCCTCCCCCTCCCCCTCCCCCTCCTCATGGCAGTGGTGGTGGAAGACCGGCCCATCCGTCCTGGCGCTGGTGCCGACCCTGCCCCTGCTCGCGCCCTCCTGGAGCAGCGCGCGCCGCAGCAGCTCCAGCGGGTTCGACACTCTCGGCCTCGAGAACATCTCGCTCGGGAACCGGGAGCGGCCCGGCGTGTGCGGCGAGGCGGACGATCGGCGGCGAGCCCGGGGGGGAAACGAGAAGGGGCGGTGAGAAAGGGGCGAACCTTCTCAAAAGGCTGGGAAGTCCCCGGGCCTTCCGAGGAGTTTTCGAAGCCCTCCCCGAAGATGCAGAAAGCTTCTGCCCGAAGGCTTCTGAGAGGTCCCACCGTCTTCTCGAAAGGCCCTCTACTTCTCACTTCCCCCCCTCGCTCGCCGCCGAGACGACACCGACGCGCGTCCGCACCCCGGCCACGCCGGCGAGCCCCCCGCCCCCGGCGCCTGCCAGCGCGCCTCCCCAACCACGCCGGCCTCGCCCGAAGGCGAGGCGCCCGCGCCGAAGCTGAAGACCGGGAGGCCCTGAGATCCGACGCTGTGAAATAATTACTGCAGCGTCGCTCACAGTCACCACAGGAGCCCCGGACCCCACCTGAGCGACGATCAGAAGCGGATCTTACGCGAGATGACGTACCGACCTTACGCGGTGGCTGAAGCGAGCCGCCCGCGCGGCACGCCACATTTGAAGCGAGGGCGCTTACGCGCGACCCTATGCGGGCAGAGTACGCGCAGATGGGGCGCAGACGACCCCGTTTTTCTTTGTCGCTCACCTGCTTTCCTCGCCGCTCTTCGAGCCGGGCCGATCTGTGAGGGCCCCGGGGCCCGAAACGGGGCGGAGACGCCCGGCGCGAGCAACCGAAGCAGCAGCGACCAGAAGAGAACCACCCTCGCAAGCAGCACCCCGACGAGTGCAGCGGTGCAGTAAGCGCGCCCGAGGCGGGAGTCGAAGAGGGCAGAGCTGCTACTGCCCAGGGAGTTGGTTGGCAGACGCCAATTCTGGGAGTCGGGGGGGCCTCTCCTCCCCTGATCTGACCCGGACATCCGCCGATCTGTTTTTCCAATCCGCGGCTCCAGAGGTCCCTACCCCTTCCCCAGGGGTGTCTTTTCGTCTGGGAGTCGTTGGTGATGGCCCCCCGGGCCCGATGACGGGCCCCGGAGGCCGCAGTCCAGGAAAAAGCGCCGGCCGGATCTCTGGGGAGGGCGGGGGGCGCCTGCGCGGGCCCGCTGCCCGCGGAGCCCACGGAGCCGGCGGAGCCCGCGGAGCCCGCGGAGTCGCGCCGCGGGCCGGGGAGGGCGGCGCCCTCGCCCGCCGCGGGCGGCGGCTCCACCTCGGGGCCCGCGGGGCCGGCGGCGCCCGCGGCGCCGGCGCTCCCCGTGGAGCGGCGGCCCCGCCTCGGCGGGGCCGGCCTCGGCGCGGCCTGCGGCGGCGACGCCCACGGCGACGACGACGCCCACGGCGACAACGACGCCCACGACGCCCACAACGACGGCGCCCACGACGATGCCCACGACGACGTACGGCGACGACGACGACGACGACGACGACGACGACGACGACGACGACGACGACGGCGACGACGACGACGACGACGACGACGACGACGACGACGACGACGCCACGGCGGTCCCAGAGCTCGGTGGCCATGTCGCGCTGGGCGCGCGCGGCCTCTCCCCTCAGACCCGGGCGTTGCAGCTTGCCTCGCGACGGGCGTTCCCGCCCCGTTTCGGGCGTCGGGGCCATCACGAATCGAGCCGGCTCGAGACGTGACGCAGAAAGATGGGGTCCGGGGCTGCGGCGGTGATTCTCTGCGCTGCGGAATCCTTTCGGCAACGTCAGGCAGGTCTGAGGGCCCACGGGAGGCGGGGAAAAACGTGGGCCCTGGCGGGCCCCGCGGCGGGCGCGGGCCCGAGCCCGAGTGGCCAGGCGTACGGAGGAGCAGCAGGGCAGAGCACGGCGCGGCACGAGGCCCCTCCGGGGTTGTGGCCGTCGCGATGGCGCCGCGCGCGTTCGCCTTACGAGTGCGCAAGAAGTTTCAAGGATGGAGGGCGGGGCGTTTTCGAAATGTGGTGCTCGCCTTAGCGCCGCGCACATTCGTTCAAACAGTTCGCTAGAAGTTCAAGGATGGAGGGTGGGTCGTTTTCGAAATGTGGTTATCGCATTAGTGCCGCGTACATTCGTCGTAACAGTTTGCGCGAGTTTGACACATTCTGACGGTTGACTTCCAAAAAACGCGGCAGTCACGCTGATTCGGGGTGTTGAAATCCCAGACATGGCAGTCTGGCACGATTCAGGATCGCCAGGACGCAATGGTAGCGTTGATTCGCGGCTTTGGAGTCCCAGAAATGGTGCTCTGGCATGGTTGAAGATTTTCAGACGCTTGTCTTCCAACGGGGCACACCTCGCAGTGAAAATAGTTCCTTCTGGGGACCTGTGAAGAGAGACCTAGAGGGAGGGAACATGACAGCATCATTGATGAGTCTTGGGTTTAAGCTGGCTCTCGTCCTCCCCCTCCTCCTGCTGATCCTGCTCCTCCGCCTTCCCCGCCCCTCCGTTCCCCTGCCCCCCACCACTCACTGGCCCTCATCCTCGCGCTCCCCCTCCACGTCATCTTCTGGATCCTCCCCCCTCACCCTTACTACGTAAGAGCTTGAGATGTGGGAGGAAGGAGGTTGATGAGGACGAGGACAGTGATAAGGATCAAGTAGAATGAGGGTGAGGAAGGATCTGCATGAGGCAGCAAATATTTCTCACAGACGTGATCATTCTCCGTGCCTAGCTGCGCCGGGTTCCAATGAGGCCGCCGAACCAGAAATTGATTGACAGTAAGCGTGCATCAAGAGATGGCATTGGGTGAGTGGGAAAGCGGCATCAGGTGTCAAAGCGGACCAAGCACATGTGCCACGTAAGGAAAGTAGGAGGCGACAACAAAAAAGCTGGGCGAGAAGACCCGAGAAGAGGAGGCGCAGAGAAGAGGGAGGAAGATGCGCAAGAACACATCTGCAACGGATGTGCGTTGGCGACGACAAAAAAGTAATTTACCCGGACAGTGGAACCAGAACTGCGGCGCTGGCCGGGGGGGAGGGACAACGACAAATAATGAAAAGCACCTGTCTGGAACACGCAGGCAAGACGCATTCACCGATGTCCGATGTGGCAGCGAAGCCATGCGCGCTGACTCACGGAGAAAACCGTGGCCATGCATGGTGCGTGCTTCGCCTTATCCCGTTGTTGGGAGCCTAATTGCCAGACGCAGTCAATCCCTCACCGCATGCGCCTCGCTAACCAACGCCCTCCACACGTCACGAGCACCGCATACTGACCGCGCGCCACCACTAGAATAATAGCCGACATGGCATAAATATAAACGTTTCACGGTCGGTACAGTCCCTTCGGTCGGCACTCGACCCCCCTTGCCCAGCGAGCCTAGCGCGCGCTCTGGGGGCGGCGCTGGATGCACCTTTCGAGGGGTCCATCGCCCACTCGAGAAATCAGCGTGAACCGTCGCAACTTTCTGCTTATGCCGTCTTCCTTCTTCGAGCCTCACAAACGTTGTTCTTTTGGAGGTCGCTGGGGGGTGGGGGGCATCGTTGTTTCCAAGGCCAGATCCCATCACACTCCACCGGCGCGCTGGATCCGTCAACAGCAATCATTCAGACCCCGATTCGCACGAGGATCGGATCTCAGGCTTGCTCTTACCGACGATGAGGCTGCTCAGATGTGCTCTGAATCTACAAGCATCACCCCCTCCTCCGTGGCACCGGAAACACAGATCGCGCCCGCTGCCCCTCAGCGAGATTCAAGTTTCTTCTACGCCAAGCAGAAACAAATACTGCCCATGCAGATCAGCGATCCCTCGTGATCGGTCGGCCGGCACTCGCCAGCCTTCCCAACGCGCGAACACACGATGGATCGCCGCGCGCAGGACGTGCTTGCTACCACTGCCCGCGCTCTCAAATCAGAAGAAGACCCCCAATGGCCCAGGCGTCCCCGGGCCATACGGGGGCCTGGCCCTAGACCAGAAACCAAAACCAAAACCGGACCAGGACGAGGAATGAGGATACCACGGCCCGCCGCGGAACCCGGGACCCGGGACAAGAACGAGGAATGAGGATACCAGGACGAGGAATGAGGATACCACGGGACGAGGAATGAGGATACCCTGGGCCAGACCCGGGAACCGGACCAGGACGAGGCATGAGGATACCACGGCCCACCGCGGAACCCGGGACCAGAACCCCGAGGTCCAGGGCCCCCTCCCGCTGTGACGGGTGTGGGGCCCCACTGTGGTGCCTCTGGGCCAGGGGAAGGGTTTGTGAGAGAAGGGTTGACCCAAGGGCCGACCCCCTCCCGAGTATCCGTCGATCTGACGCACCTTGCGAGCCGCAAGGGGGCAGCGGTACTTAAAAAGAGGAGGAGCAGGAGGAGGAGGAAGAAGGAGGAAGGAGGAGGAGGAAGGGGGGAGGAGGCAGGAGGAGGAGGAGAAAGGAGGAGGAGGAGGAGGAGGAGGGGGGAGGAGGAAGGAGGAGGGGACATGAGGAGGATTGAGCGGAGAGGAGTAGGAGGAAGGAGGAGGAGGAGGAGGAGGAGGAGGAGGGAGGAGGAGAATTGAGGAGGAGGAGGAGGAGGAGGAGGAGGAGGAGGAGGACGAGGAGGAGGAGGAGGACGAGGAGGAGGAGGAGGAGGAAGAGCAGGAGGGAGTAACGGGAGGAGGAAGGAGGAGGAAGGAGGGATGATTCAGAAGGGGAGGAGGCAGGAGGACGCGAGAGGAGGGACGGAGGGCGGCCGCCAGGGCCCCGCCCAGGGCCCGGGCGAGCGGCGGCGGCTGGCGCCGCTGTGCTGGGCGAGCGGCGGCGCCCGCCGCCAGGTGTGCGGCAAGGCTCGTGGCCAAGCCGTACGGTCGACCCGCCGATCATAAAGACGCACGAGAGGGACGGACCCCACGTGGAATGGCCGCACGATAACAAGGATGGACCCCAACGATAAGACGGACCCCCCAGACGGACCCCACGAGGACCCCCCAACGATCATGTGAACCCCATGTGGGAGGGCTCCAGAAGGATGTACACCGACGATAATGAGGACGCACGAGAAGGGCCTTGGAAGCCCATGCGGACACTTTGCGAGCGGGGCGCGGCCACCGGAGAAGCGGCCAAGGATGGGCCGAAGGGGAAGGACGCAAGGGTGACCTTGGAGAGAGTTGCTCATCCTTACTACGCGGGTTGACTGTAAACTTCAATGCCCTGGGCTTCGATGTGAAAGCTCGGAGGGTTCCTGGGCCCTGCAGTCAAAACTGACAGTGAGGATGCGCGAAAAGGACGCGAGCCCCTCGAGCGCCCGTGTCGAGGTTCTTAGAACGGGGCTGGCAATCGAGAGTGGTTAGGGGTGGACCGAAGAGAAGATGACCGAAGAGGCGCGGATGCGAGGGTGTCCTTGGGAAGTCGACTCGATCATCCGTACTACCAGTGTTGACTGTAACCTCAATTGACGGCTTACCGCCAGCACCTGGCTTGGGAGTCGCGCGCGCGCCAAAAACTCGCCGGCACGGGCGCGCGGCTCCCCTCCGGGCAGCCTCGCAGTCCCGGAGGATGTTCCGCCTCGGCGCGCGAGCCCGCGCGGCGGCCGCCCCCCCACCGCCAGGCCAGTCGCGGGCCGTTCTGGAACGTCTGCGCGGTCGGAGGAGGAGGAGGAGAAGGAGGAGGAGGAGGAGGACGAGGAGGAGGAGGAGGAGGACGAGGAGGAGGAGGAGGGCGAGGAGGAGGAGGACGAGGAGGAGGAGGAGGAGGAGGACGAGGAGGAGGAGGAGGAGGAGGAGGACGAGGAGGAGGAGGAGGAGGAGGAGGAGGAGGAGGAGGAGGATTGTCATGGATGGAGGAGGAGGAGGAGGACCGTTGTCATGGATGTACCCTTCGGCCGTGGGTCGGGCTCACACACCTCAGCCCCTAGGGGAGCGGGGTCTGGCCGATGCTGCGAGAAGCCTGCCAAGCGGCCTAAAGCGGGGGGCGGAGGACAGCAATGATATTCAGGTGCTTAGTGAGGAACACCGGTCGGCGCTCCACCTCTATATCGCCTTCTCTGTCCACTGCCCCCTCCTCACCCTATGCCCTCTGGTGATCTGGTCAAATCCGGGCTCCTACAGGGTGACAACCCAAGTCGGGGAAGCGAACTTGCCTCCGCAGTGGTCCGCACACATACTGAGTCTGTTGCCGTGCGCTGGCCAAAGGTTCCCCTCAGGGGAGCAATCGGACCCTTAATGAGTCCGCGCGCCTCCCTGCCGCTGAATTTGAGCTCCAGGTACGGCCAAACCAGCCTCAGTGCACTGGTAAGCTGCCCAACTCACCGGTGTTCTCTCCAGGCACGGCCGAGAGCCACCCGTGGGGAAAGCCCGACATCATGACGGGCGAGACGCGAGCACGACAGCGCGACTCATGAGGGGTACAGTACCCAGCGTGAGGGGTCAACGCATGAGAGGTGCAATCCCCAGCGTGAAGGGTCAACGCACGAGGTAAGGGGGACCAACTCCCCAGCATGAGGGGTCACCTTTCTGTACCGCTTTGGCGTGGCTGGGGAATGGCGTTTGCACCAGCCCCACAAGGACGAATTGGCTGCCCAGGTTAGCGGTGGTAGCACGCGGGGAGGGCTGCCAATGCATGGCAAAGCATGCCTGACCTGATCTCAAGTCGCTGTAGTCATCGTTACAGACTCGTCGCCAGCGTCACCGTCACTGCTGCCGCCTTTCGGCTGCCGTCTCCCGTCGCTCGCAGCTGGGAGGGATCACTTTTGAGAAAACTGCAGTAACGCAGAAATGATCAAAAGTGATACCTCCTGGTTTTCAGCCGAAGAGAGCGGGAGGGCCGCTCGCTCGGCAGGAGGCCGTGCCTCCCTGCTCTCCGTCCTCCGTCCTTTTCACTCCTCCACTCCGTCGAGGAGGACAACCCCGCCGCGCCCCAGCGGGAGCCCAGGGGGGACCGAACGAGCCCCAGATGTCGAGCTCACATGCCTAATGCAGACATCGGGAGGCGGGGCCTTGATACCCGAAAACAGGCCCGCGCCAAAACAGTCACCCAAGGCCCTTGGTGACTGTTTTGGCGCGGCGGCTTTTGGCCGCATCGATAGCGTATGTTGTATCAGCATAGCGTCTGTTGTAGCAACATGTAGCAGCAGCTAGCTTGAGTGTATTCGCGTGTAATAAACGGGCAATCTTGACACCCAAAGCGGGCGGACAAATCGTGCCCCCCCCTCCGGAGCACGAGGGCGGAAACCGTGACACCACCGGTCCTCGATGATACGAGACGGGTGCTACACGTATGCCTCCCCTGCTGCTGCGCGCTGCTACAATGCTGCGCGCTGACATGCAATATTTATGCCGCGGCTCGTGCACGACATGCACGCGCGTACACCACCATGCGCAGGACCAAGAAGAGGCCCACCCCGAAGGGGGTGAGCCCTCACGACGACACAACACATCCTACCCACAGATCCCCCACCTTGGTCGGCTGCGCGCGGTGCTGCTAGCGAGCTGATCCAGTCGAATCAGCGGGCCGGGGCCTAACTGCGAACTTGCTGAGCAGTGGTCCGTAGCCCCCGACCCTAACAATTACAACAACAACAACAACAACAACAACAATCACTTTACCCGAACGCTCAGTGTTCTCACCAGTGCCAGGGTTTTCATGCGACGCCAGCCAATACCCCCACTTTGTGGGGGGGCAGTGCAAGCTCTACCAAATATCCACACGACTCTTCGCCACCACCCACACCCAGCTTCCCGCCCTATGACGTTCGGACACTTCACTTCGTGGCCTGCGGACGACCGTGGCTACTACACTGGCGTGGAGTACACACCCACAGAAGTTGTTAAGCCTACGTTCGTACACCCACAGAAGTTGTTAAGCCTTGTTAACCCACAGAAGTTGTTAAGCCTTCCACAGAACATCTGTTGCATATGATGCATATGGTACATGATACACATGATACACATGATACGTACTCACAAGATAGTTGATCACATCTTTAGGGCAAATTCCTGAGGGATGTGGGAATACACAAGAGAGAGAGGATATGGTTGTCCCGATGGTTGTCTCGATGGTTGTCCCGATGGTTGTCCTGATGGTTGTGGTTGTCCCGATCGTTGTCCCGATGATTGTCCCGATGGTTGTCCTGATGGTTGTGCTTGTCCCGATCGTTGTCCCGATGACTGTCCCGATGATTGCCCCGATGGTTGTCCCGATGGTTGTTCCGATGGTTGTCCCGATGGTTGTCCCGATGGTTGTGAGCGATGCCGGATCCTCACGCCCCCCGCCGGAGGAGGAGGAGGAGGAGGAGCAGGACAAGGAGGAAAGGAGAGAAGAGAGAGGAGGGGCGGGAACGGCGCTTGCACGCCCACCCACCGTCTTTTCCCCGCCGCGGCTCTAAAGAGACGAGTTCGTGTGCTCGTCATCTTCTGGCATACGCCCGTCCCTGATGGCACGGATGGGGCGCAATGCTGCCAGCTGGGCTCCTGGCAGAAATACATCAGGGGCCAAGTGTCCAAGCATGGTGCCGATACGCCTCCTCACGGATACATCGCCCGTGCGTGCGAGGGGCGCCAATACCGCCAGGACGCCCTGGACATGCGCCGGCATACGCAGATCCACCTGGTAATCCATGACATTGCCATACTGGGACTGCCAACAGGTGCTAAAATTCTTAAGAAGCCCAATGGTTTTTGGAGATTTCGGCGTGCGCGCGCGAAGAAAAAACGAATGTGTCCCGCATGGTATTATTTGACAGGGATGATGGCCCTGGCAGGTGCGCAACCGTTGTCGCAGAAGTTCGAAAAAGTTGCTCGCAAAAGCCCGTTTGACAGAAATGTTTAAAAAGTGTTGGGTTTCCTACGAATCCGCAAGAGCGCGCGGGATGAGATTTTGACAATTTTTTGTTGAAAAACCATTGGTTTTTTGATGTTTTAATGTTAAAATCGCTGCGAACACTAAGGTTTTGGAAGGATTTCGTCTTGCGCGCGCGAATGTCCACTTTACCTTATTTTTTGCAAGGGATTCTTGAAATTTGATTATATTAGAACAAGAAATGTCATTTTCTATTGTTTTTTGCAAGGGAAAGCGGATTACAACAAAACAACCGGATCCTGTACACACCCTCTTTTCTGAGGCTTCCTCACGAAAATGATGAAAATGTAGCTGCGGCCTAGGCGGCGCAGGGGGGGCGCGCACCAGGGGGCCCAACAATAATTATTCTTTAGAATAAATAATGTTCAACAACAACAACAACAAAAAATTGCAGCGAGCAGGATTTGAGAAAATGATCCAGTCGAATCAGCGGGCCGGGGGCTACTACGAACTTGCTGCGCAGTGGTCCGTAGCCCCCGACCCTGTTGCCCCCCCCCCCCGTGGCCACACAAAAGACCACGTTTGCTGGTGTCGCCCCAGCTGCCTAACCCCTGGGGCGTTGAAAAGGTGCTCTTCGGGCGTGCGCCGTGCGGCGCACGCCCTTACCAGCGCCCCATGCGTCCTTTCCAACACCCGCCCCAGGGGCTGCGGCAGCCTTCGGCATGGGGAGGAGGAGGAGGAGGAAGGGAGGAGGAGGAGGAGGAAGAGGAGGAGGAGGAGGGGAGCCCCCTCGAGGGCGGACGGGAGAGGAGGAGGCGAAGAGGGCGCGCCATGCCTGCCCGAGGGGCCGCACAGAGGCCCCTGCCCCGACGTGCGCCCGCGCCGATGCAGGTGTCACAGCGGGCGCCCGAGGTGCCAAGACGAGAAGGGAGGGCGAGCGGGAGGAGGAGGATGAGGAGGAGGAGGAGGAGGAGGAGGAGGAGGAAAAGAGAGGGCGAGCGGGAGGTGGAGGAGGAGGAGGAGGAAGGGGGGGAGGAGGAGGAGGAGGAGGAGGAGGAGGAGGAGGAGGAGGAGAGGAGGAGGAGGAGGGAGGAGGAGGAGGAGAGGAGGAGGAGGAGGAGGAGGAGGAGAAGGGAGGGCGAGCGGGAGGAGGAGGAGGAGGAGGAGGAGGAGGAGGAGGTTGGAGCGTCTTGGGATGATGATGATGATGATGATGAGGAGGAGGAGGAGGAGGAGGAGGAGGAGGAAGAGAGGAGGATAACGACGACGACGACGACGACGACGGCGACGGCGAGGACGCGAGGACGACGACGACGATGACTTCGACGGTTACGACGACGGCGGCGACCACAAAGTGGGGAGGAGGGATGATGAATAACGAAGGGAGCAGCGAAAGGAGGGTAGTGAGGAGAAGGAGGACACGACGATGATGGCAACAGGGAAGGAAGGAGGAGGACGATGACGACGAGAACAAGGAGGAACCCCTTGGATCCACTCCAAGCCCCCAAGAATTTCCGAAACCTCCCTACTATTCCTCATCTCCCCCTTCCCAGAGCATAAGGGAGAAGGAGTAAAACGACGACGACGGCGACGGCGACGACGAAAAGAGGAACTGGTCTGAGTACGACGAGGACGACGACAACGACGACAACGACAACAACGAGCACGACCTACACTGCGACGGCACGACGACAGCCGAGGAACATGACTGCCACGTCGACAACGACGACCGAGGACAATGGCGACCGCGACGTTGACGGCGACGACGGCGAGCAGGTCTGGGGGTCCCCAGAGGGACCCAGCGGCCTGCCTGTCGGGACACCACTGGGCCACGTCCTGCGGGACGGCTGCTGACGTCGTCCTGATCGTTGTCGTTGTCGTCGTCGCCCCTCCTCTTTTCCAGCTCCTGCTCCTCAACTCCACTCCTCCTCCTCCCTCTTCCAACTCCACCTCCCCTCTCCTCGTTGACAAATCGCTCACCGCTGTCATGACCACCCTCGACAAGCAGATGCAGACTTGCGGTCCTCTTTGGGTAGCTCATTATCCACCGAGGCCGTTTTCATACAACAAGTTTGTTTAGGCATCCTCATCAAGACGAAACTGACATCAGTTCTCGTGCCACTCGCTGGTGTGTGTGCGAGCACGAAGGATGGGCGAATGTTGTCTTTGGGCCACAACATGGCAAGAACGGGTTTGATCATCACTAACCCTGCTGAGCGATGTCCCACAATTTCGAAACCTAGAAGGCAAATATTGGAAGCCAGCAGAACTCGCATAACTTGTCCTCGATTGAGTGCCCTTGCAAGATACAAGATCGAGAACATTGAAGCGAACACCTCGCCTGTAGACAAGATCTAATTGAGGAAAGGACAAGCGGTGCAAGAGTAAGCAAGCTACTGGAAAGCGAACGGGGATGGAGTCTCAGAGACGGGCGGACGGGGGGTGAGAAGGGGAGGGACAGATACGACCGACCACCTCGACACCACCACCATCACCGCCCGGGTTCGGAAGCTCGGAGTCCAGGGAGTCCACCCAGGTGACCAGTAACTCCCTGGATAATGCTTGTCCCACTTACTTGAATTACTCCCTCGCCGTGCTGAGCTGGTCGGAAATGTCGCCCCAGCCCCAGGCCTCGCAGCCGCCGGCCTCGACGGTCGCGCCGCTGCCGCTGGCCGCGCAGCCGTCGAAGACATGGCCGGAGACACCTCGACGACCTGAACCTCGAGCGCCTGGATCTGGTGGCTTGTCTCGAGGGCCTCCTTTTTCCTGGGCACTCTCGATGCCAGTGCCCCTTGATACTGCAGATGCTGCGACGCGTCGCCTTCATCGGCTGCTTCGGGGTGACCTCGACCTCTTCGGCCCGTTCCATCACCTCGTCACTTGGGACAAGCCCTGGTGGGCGGGTCGCCGTGGCCCTCGGCCTTCCCGCGAAAGTACCCGCGGTTTTTGAGAGCGGCCCTCTTGAGATACTTGTTTTGCTGCCGCGTACATTTGTGATTGGCCTCCATCGTCGCGAGGGTCTCGTCCACCTGCTCCTCGTCCAGGTCCAGGTCGTCCAGCTCGGCAAGAAGAGCCTCGACGTCCTCCCCTTGGTCCTCGCCGTCGTCGGCAGAGTCGTCGTCGTCGTCGTCGTCGTCGTCGTCGTCGTGGTCGTCGTCGTCATCGTCGTGGTCGTCGTCGTCGTCGTCGTCGTCGTCGTCGTCCCGGTAGGTGTCATCATCCTCGCCCGAAGAGGGTAGCACTTCACCGTGGGACCGACCAGGAGGAGAGGAGGAGCAGGGAAAATGCTGCGCGCCCGCGGCCAGCGCACTAGACGGAGGACCTCCGACGGCCGCCGCGAGCGAAGTCGATCGCCCAGGAAACAACCTCTCGGACCCCCCCGCATCCACGTCGAAGAGCCCAAGTCACGTTGTCGTCGTCGAACGGACCCTTCCGTAGGGTCCATCAATTCTGCATGCCCTAGGCACTGAGGCTGGCGCCTTCTTAGAGCTGCAACCCATTCAGCTTCGTGGACATCCAGAGGTCGTTTCTTTGTGCTTCCATGAGCTGCGCATCCCTCCTGATGACGAACTGGGTGAGGGATTCTTTCGGCTCGCGGGCGGCCTCGAAGAAGGCCCAGCCGCACCTGCGCAGATCATCACACTCGCGCTCACCAGTGATCGTGTCCATGAGGCCGAGGACGATGTCTAATCAATCATATCTCGAGGCGACTGATACTCGGGAATCTCAAACCCTCAAAAAAACTGGAAGCCCCAGCCGAAGAGCTTCAGGAATTTCTGCGCCGTCGCCAGGTGGGCACGTCAGTGTTCGGGTTTCACCTGCGAAGCGCCCTCTTCCACTGCCTGTAACAGTTCCAGCTGGGCCTGGACGGCGGGTCGCTGAACTGGCCCTTGCCGCCCCAACCGCCGCCGCCTCCTGCTGAGCAGCCGCTCTGCCATCCCGCAAAGCCTCCTCAGCCATAGCCGCCGCTCTGCCAGTGGTCAGTCCAGGAGTCGCGGCTGGTCCGGCTGGCTCCGCTCGATGGCTCTGGCCGGTCGTCCCAGGAGCATGCTTCCAGGGATCGGAACGCCTCTAGCCATCGTCGCACTTGTCGTCGCCCTTGCCCTCGTTGGTTCCGTCAGGCGCCTTGGGCGTACAATCTCCCAGGACGGGTTCGGTCAACGTGGAGCTCCTCGATTGCACCAGCGTGTCCCTCACGATGTCTGCAATCAGTCCCCTGGTGACCGCGGCCCCGTCCGAGCCGGGTGGCGGTTCGGCGCCCTGGGCGCCCTGGGCCTTCTGGGCGCCTTGCTGTATGACTGCCATGGCGGCTCTCCTCCCATCTTCTGCGCCGTCTGTCGGCATGCCACGTGCCATGGATACCCAAACAACCCAAGCTGGCTGGGCGAGGCATCCGCAGGAGGCACGCGAGCACTGGCCGAGCAGACCGGCTGGCAGCCCGCTGCTCCAGCGCCCGTGGCCCTCCGACGACACCCTGCTCTGCTACCAACTTTGCGAGCACGGTGGATGGGCGAGTGCTTTGCCTCGAGCCACAATAGGACCAAACGGTGTCACACCTGCCAAACCTGAGCAGCAACATCTGAAAGCCAGCAACAGGTGGGTGATCCCTGGTAACAAGTTGTTGGTGCGATCGACAGTGCTGCGGCTGAGACAGCTCGGCTGCCCGTCAACATTCGTTAACGGGTCCTCCTCCATGAGAGGACAGCGCAGCTTGTCAGACTTCGATCGGTTGCTACGACCGACGTTGAGTGCGCCGACTGCTGATGCGGCGATTGGCCCTGGTTAAAAAAAAACGTCATCCTCCATCGTTCGTCCTTCTTCTGCTGCCGCATTCTCCCTCCTCTCTGCCTCCCTCTGCCTGGATGACGCTGACAGCAGGTGCTCCAGCTGCGGGGGTCGGCCTCGACAGGCAAGACCACCGCCTGCCTTCAGAGCAAGCGCATCCAGCCTGTTCGTTCGTTGTGACCATGTCATCGTGTGAAACCCCTCCTTAGCACGTCTACAGATTGCGGGGGGCTACGTGGACCACGCTCATGGCATGCAGTATCATTCCTAGCCCAAACTCTGGCACGCGGATGTGATGCCGCAAAGCAGCGTGCCATGCGAATGCACCGACCCGTGTCATCATCATGAGCCCAGGATGAGTGTTGTATACGCCGTCCTGGCTTGGCCAGGGAGGCATACACACCGACCATGGGCATAGCATGGGCCCCACCAGGGCAGGTGCATGTGCACACCTTTCTTCGCCCGAGAGAAGGGAAGACGAAGCCCAGAGGGCCTCTGGGGGCCAGGTGGGGACCCCGAAAGGGCTAAAGTGGCCGCCGAAGACCTCACCTCGCGATGGTCTCACGACGCGAGGCGCTCTGGGGAAGGAAGCGGGAGCGGGAGGGGGGGGGGGCAGGAGAAGCGGCCTCCTGGGGGAAGGAGGTGGAGAGGACGAGGGAGAGGGTGGGGGAGAAAAGGTGAGGGGGGGAGAGGGAGGGCGAGGGGGAGCAGGGGGGAGAAGGGGCGGGGGGGAAAGAGGAGGGTCGCGGAGCGGGACGGCGCGCGGCAGGTCCTCCAGCCTCCTCAGCGACTCCTCCGCCTCCCTCAGCCTCCCGAGCCCCTTCTCGGCCTGGGGCCGCGCGCGCCCGCGCCCCCCCCGGCAGCGGCGCGCGCGCGCGCCCGCACGCGCTCGGGCGGCCAGAGGCCTCCCAAAGTTGGAGGCTCTGGACATGGGCGCCAACACTAACACAGGGGGGTTGCCTCCACTGGGGAAGGATGATCCTAGATTTCGGTGTCGGTGGTAATTTCGTCGGCCGCCTAGGAGGCCAGGACATGACCATCATCGCCGAGCTCGGGAAACTCTTCCCTCGGTAGAGGGACACCGCCGACATTGGTGTTGGTGTCAGCCTCTAAGCCTCCGACGAAGTGCGAGGAGATGGGGTCGGAAGATCGCGCTGCATCGATGCATCGCCAATGCGGCGCGATCCTCCGACCGCATCCACGCAGACCCCCTTTGGGAGACCTGGAGTGGTGGCGGCCCGCAGGGACGAGTGCGGGCCCCGCGCCTGTGCTCGCCTCCAGGGCCAGACCTCTGGCTGTCGGCATCCGAAGGCCGCTCTCGGGCCCTGCGGCTGTCAACGTCGGGCCCGGGAAGAGAAAGTGCCCTCAGGAAAGGGGTCGAGACATCTGTGGCCTCCAGATCGAATAAAACGATCCATCGGCACTGGGGGGTGGAGGCGGTCTAGCTGGGCGAGTGCGGACCCCACTTCTCCGCCCCCCTCCAGAACTGAGCAGGCTCTGGGTATTGTTGGCGCGCCTCTTTGTGAGGATGATATCCTCCTCCCCTTCCCTCTCCCCCCCTCCTTCTCCCAGGTGATTATCCCCCCCCCTCCTCCCTCACCCCTATGGCTTATCCTGCTTCCACACCCTCTACTACCTCCTTTATCCCATCTCATCCTTATCCATATTCCTTCGCTCTTCCGGATCCCCCTGCCCCCTCCTCACCTCATTAATCGTCCTCAGCAGCATCACCATCAGCACAATGTACCTGTTCAGACGCAACATCAGCAACCTCATCAGCATTATCACCATCACCTTCGCCAACTTCACCAACAACAGCACCAGAAGGATCACCACCAACATCACCACCATCATCATAATCAATCATCATCAACATCATCAGCATCATCAACAGCAAAATCATCACCCCGTCCTCATCATCCTCGCCGTAATCATCAGCAGCACCATCACCGTCACCAGCATCATCACCATCAACATCAGCACCATCGTCGCCATCAGCAACAACATCATCAGCATCATCATCAGCATCATCACCATCATCACCATCATCAGCATCGCCCTCATATCTGTTGCCCCTTCTGCTCCTCCTCCTCCTCCTCCTCCTCCTTCCTTCCTTTTCCTTATACATTACTTCTCAGTGGCGCACCCCGACGCCGGTCGAAAGGGCGGGCCCGGCGTTTCGCCTGAGACTTTCTCACAAACTTATGATCATGAAACTTACAACTTGACAGCAGCTTCACAGATGGAGAGCGGGTCGCTTCCAAAACGTGGCTCCACCCTCAGCGCCCCGCACATTCGCTTTGAGACATTCGCAACAAATCCACGGATTGAGAGCGGGTGCTTTTCACAATTTGGTTTGCGCTTTGGCGCTGCGCACAATCGTTTGGAACATTTGCACGGGGTTCACAGATTGAGGGCGGCTCGTTCTCAAAATCTGTTTCTCGCCTTAGCGCTGCGCACAGTCGTCTTTGCAAATTGACAAAAGCTTCGCGGATGGAGGGCGACTCGTTTTCAAAATGTGGTTCTCGACTGAGCGGTCCGCATATTCCTTAAAGAGAGAACAGGTGTAAGCCTTTCACGGATTGAAGGCGGCTCGTTTTCAAACTGTGGTTGTGGCCTTGCCGCCGCGTGCATTCAGGTTCAAACTTAGCCCAAGTTGCATTGATGCTCTTGGCTAATGTACCAACAACGGTGTTTTTGACCGGTTCAAAACTGTCGGGGCGCAACAGTTACGCTGATTCACGGCGTTGCAGTCCCCAAAACGGCGTCCCGGCACGATTCGGAATCGCCAAGACGCAGAGCCGATCTAAGCCACAAAATCGTCGCTGAAAAACGTGAGGCCCTCCGTCGGCCAACACACGCACACACAAACATCCAAGGATCCCCCCCCCCAGGGTGCACCATAACATCCACCAAACCCGACAAGCGCGAGGGTACTCCCGAACCGACCTCGATCTATAGCTCGGTCCGACTGTACCAGTCAGGTCAACAGTGCCAAGCCCTCAATGGAAATGACCGTTTGTAGGGACCTACGAAGAGGGAGCTTGGAGGGATGGTGTATCCCCACATCGTTGATGGATCTTGGGTGTACACTGGTCCTCCTCCTCCTGCTCCTCCTCTTCTTCCTCCTCTGCCTATTCAACCACCTCCTTCTCCTTTTTCCTCCTCCTCCTCCTCCTCCTTGTTCCTCCTCTTCCGTAGGGCGACTCAGCGCGTCCCCAGGTCCGCGCGTGGAAGCCGCGCGCGCGTAATAGCGCACCGCGGGCGGTCGGCGCGCGAGTCCCCCGGATCTTTGGAAGGCCCAGATTCCGTTTCAGAGGGGTGAAAAGGGAGACCGCCACGTCATTCCTACATCCCGAGGCTGGTCAAAGAGGAGGCGAAAGGGAAAGGTGAGCGGCGGGGCCGCTCCGATGATCATGACGCGTATACCGGCGGCGCATCTTTTCGGTAACGCTGTACTCGGGATACTCGTCGGCATCCTAGAATCGAACTGCGGGTGTTACGGCGCACCAGTAATATAACACTGTAGCGCTACAGGAATCAGGCGTCGTAGCCTGTCGGCATCCCCTGCGCTCCACGGAGTGCCGCGCGCTGGAGCAGGCAAGTAGTGTCATCCAGCCAGCGGACAGTGGCGGACGTCTCATCGAGTCATGGTACGTTTTGCCGAGCCTGCCTCGTGCTGCATCGCCGATGGCAATCGGTTTCTTGACGCACCTGGGCTTCGAGCTGCGGCTCGGTTGGGCTGCCTCGAGTAGGAGCGGACATCCAGGTTGTCATGCATCTTCTCGATGGCCCCCAAAGCTGTGCCCGCGGCCCTCGTAGCCCACTTGTTGCCCACACGGTTCAGCAGGTGGCACTCGTAGTTGATCTCGTGGCCCTCCAAGCTTGCTTGTGGCCCATGCACTTCAGCTCGTCGTCCAGGTACCTATGTGGAAAGAATTCGTAATTCTCCTTGTGGCCCGCGCAGCTCAGGTTGCGGCCCTCGCAGGTCCAGCAGGTGCCCCCCCGTAGCTGGGTTGGTGGCTCTTGGAATTATGTTCGTGGTCCTTGCAGTTCCGCTCGTCGTCCGAGTAGCTACGCGAGAACCTCTCGTAGCTTCGCCTGTGGCCCGCGCATCTATGTCTGGGGTCCCCGTCGCTCAGCAGGTGGCCATCGTAGCTAAGCCGGTGGCTCTCGAAGTTCTGCACGTGGCCCTTGCAGTTCAGCTCAGCTCGTCGTCCAAGTAGCTCTGCGGGAGGCTCTCGCACTTCTGCTCGTGGCCTCTGGTTTTGGCCATCGTAGCTGCGCAGGTGGCCCTCGCAGCTGAGCTGGTGGCTCTCGAAGTTCTGCTCGCGGCCCTTGCAGTTCGGCTCGTCGTCCAGGCTATGCGGGGGCTCTTGTAGTTTCGTGGGTCAGGCTGTGGCCTTCGTGGCTCAGCAGGTGATCCTCGTTGCTGAGCTGGTGGCTCCCGAAGGTCTGCTCGCGGCCCTTGCAGGTCAGCTCGTCGTACAGGTAGCTCTGCAGGAGGCTCTCGTAGGTTTGCTTGTGGCCCGCGCACCTGCGACTATGGCTTCGCAGCTCGGCAGGTGGACCTCGTAGCTCGGGAGGTGATCCTCAAAGCTGCTCTGCCTGCGGCCCCAATGGCTCAGCGCGTGGCCCTCGCAGTCCAGCCTGTGGCCCGAGCAGCTCTGCAGCTGCAGGTGGCCCTCGCAGCTCACTTGGTGGCCTGTACTTTTGCGTCGCCATCTTTCTTATAGCCTTGCTCATCGTGGTCCTCCTCCGTCTGCCTTCTTGTTTTTTTTTTCTCCTCGTCTGCCACCTCGTGCTCCTCGTGGTCCAAATCGGAATTGCCGACTGCCAGATGGTGTCGTTCTGCTCTCAAGTTGCCTGGCGGCGGCCCTCGAAGTTGGTGGCTCTTGTAGCTCTGCTGGTGGCCCTAGAACTCTGCTCGTGGTCCTCGCAGCTTTCCGTTTTGCCGTTGCAGCTCTGCTGGTGGCCCTCGAAGCCCAACCCGTGGCTCTAGAAGCACTAGTTCTTGCTGTCGTAGCTCAACTGGCGGCCTTCGGAGCTGAACAGGTTGGCTTCCGTAGAGCATCTGCAGTGGCGAATCAACCTCGTAGTAGTATGCGCCCAAGTTGTGGCAGCTTTCCTGGCCAGACTGGTCGCAGTGGTCGTGGTCGCGGTTGTTGCAAGCGCGGCACGAAAAATCGCGCAGGTCTCGGGCGGAGGTACCTTTACTGGCGCAGGAGGCTTTGAAGCTGTAGTCGGGGCCCCCTATTTTCTGCCAGTGCTTAGGGTTTCGCCTCACTGCCCACCGCCGTCGTAGGATCGATCGTCTTTTGTAGCGCACTTGGTGTCGTACTTGTTGTAGGCGGCAATCGTGCATATCATGATGTCTTTCAAAGGTTTGATGAGAGCCCGTGTCTTGCACAGCACCCCATCCGCTTGAGAGCTGCCGCTGCTCTCAGTCCCGGCGAAGCGTTCGCTGGTAGGCATCCACATATCGTGGGATGAACTTGTAGCACTGGTGGTTCGCGAAGCTAGGCCTGCAGATCTTGAGGTTCAGCCTGTAGATCTTGAGGTTCAGCCTGCGGATCTTGGGGTTCAGCCTGTAGGTCCCAGTCTTGTGCACGGCGTACGGGCGCAGCCCCCCGTTGCGGCGGCGCGCTGAAGCTGCCCCCCCCCCCCAAGGGTCCCAGCGCGCGGCGTTGGGGCCCGGGGCCAGGAAAGCCTCCTCCTCCACTCCTCCTCCTCCTCCTCCTCTTTCTCCTCCTCCTCCTCCTCCTCCTCCTCCTCTTCCTCCTCCTCCTCCTCCTCCTCCTCCTCCTCCTCCTCCTCCTCCTCCTCCTCCTCCTCCTCCTCCTCCCCCTCTCTGACGATCGACCGCCGAACATCCGCAGATGTGACGTTAGATGTGACGTTTGACCATACTTTCGACATGGCGACGAAAAGCCTCCCAGAGGCCCCAGAAGGGAAAACAAAACGTCATGAACCTCAAACCACGATCCTACTCCATCCATCCTCCTCCATCTACCCCTGACGTCGTGATTTTGTCACAATGTGGACCCCGAGAGAAAAGCACCATTTTCCCCCATGGCGAAACACCACCTCCCCAACCCCCCGACGGGCAGCCAACCCAGACCCATGAGCCCCCCACACCTCACATCATCCCTTTCAAAACAGAATACAAAATACACTGTGCTTCCGAATCTGGAGTATGCGCGGGCGCCGCGCGACCACTTGTTTTTTGGCATGGGCGGTGGGGGTGCCGGCATATTACCTGTTTTGTGCCATGCCAGCACCACCCCACTATCCCTTACAAAAAACCATGCGCAGCACACGTTGCAGCAACATTTAGGGTCATGTTCGGGGCGCCCGCGAGCACTCTGCAGTGTTTTTGATAGGGGCGGCGGGGGTGCCGGCAGATGGTCTGCTGCGCGCAGGGCCACCATCCTTGTCGGCAAACAACGCAAACTGCCGCTCGATGCGCGGGCACCGGGCACCCCGCGATCACGTTGCAGTGGGTTTTGACAGGGACGGCGGGGTGATGGAACGTTGCCTGCTGTGCGCAGGCCAGCCAGGCATCATGATGGCCACTCCGCCGCGATTGCTCCTTGGTGTGTGACAAGTATGGCGGAGTCCGATGTGCGTGGGCGCACCCGGCACACTCTGCGCGTGCCCCGAGCGTGGCGCACCTGACGCGTCTGGAGCATGAGGCACACATGGCGCACGTGGAGCACGTGGCACATCTGGCGCACCAGGCGTGCCTGGCACGCTTGGGCCTCAGGGGCGCCTGGCGCGCCTGGTGCGCGTGGCGCACCGCGCCCCAGCGTCGCGCACCTTGAGTCTGGATTGGTTCCCAGTAGCTGCCCATCCGAAGACGATCGCTGAATATGCTGAGACTCGGGTACTACTCATGTGTTGGGAGGGCGGGTGAGAGTGAGCCAATCAGTTTGCGTCTGGGAGAGGTGTCTTGACCCCTCTCCTGCGTCTGGACAGGGCGGGTGCTATGTGTCAGAGGGTTCCTTTGGGCCCAACATGGCTTCAAAAATGGGCGCAAGATGGGCCGAAGTGGACTACCGTGGCTCCCTACACGTCTCTGGGAGCATGTACGATGCCTCCAAGACTACTCCAAAGAGCTGCGAAGCCTCCCAAGGATGCCCCCAAAATATGCACCCGATCAATACGCTCAAATCCTGCATAACCTTAGGTTCTCATTCCACAATTTGAAGTTCCTCGCATTTTCGCTTATGATAGGCTTCTGTGGCCTCAGGATGACCCCAAGATCGCCCGAAAGAGCCCCAAGAGAGAGGCCCAGCAGAGCCCCCACGAGGACCCCGAGGGCCTCCAAAACGCAAAGAGCTTCCCAAGAGGATCCCTAGAGGCGAGTTGCTGGCTCCGACGAGGCGCAGCTACTCGACTCCGTCGACTCTGCCCAAGATGGCCTCAAGGGGACCCCCAGTGCCCCCAAGAGGGCACCAAGAGAACCTCGCGAGAGACCAGCTTGCCTCCCAGAACGCTCGAAGAGAGCGTCAAGATGGCAATCAGAAGCGAAAGCATTCATGGTCCACTCCTGTCTGTTTCGCGCCTCTCCGCCGTTGCGGAAGACTGAGGGGTCAATCATGGAGGCATCAGGCACGGGATCTGTCGACCCCAATCTCCGACTTCGTTGGGCTTCCAAGCGGAGCGAACATTTGGGGCCCAATTCGGAGATATGCGATAGGGAGGCGTCCGTCCTCAACAGGGAAGCGTTTGAATAGCCACCTGTGGGTGCATTCCCGCGTCTCCCCTCCTGTTCTGAGCGGCCTGACTTTTAGCGGAAAACTCGGGGGCTGGGGGCGAGAAATCGCCTGCGAGCATCCAGGGCGCCCCTTCAGGAGGCCCTTCAGCGTCCGCGGTGGACAAACCTGCCTTTAGTAAACCTCCATTTAGTGAAAGCGGCCTAGGACCGAAACCGACGGACCTGGACCCGCAAAAATGACGGCCGCGACGCCCTCTCGCGAACCGAAAACGGCCAATCTGCTAACCGACGCGTCAGGGTAGGAGGTCGGTCAACCTCCGACAGCAAGGTGAAGAAGACACGGGCGGGGTGCAAGCACGTGACAGGGCGGCTGCCCCACCCCCCTCCTTGTTCGCCGATGGCATCCAGGATGGCCCAAAGAGCGTCGACACCACACTGTGCCCTTCAGCTTCTACACAAATATAGGGGGGCTTGAAAGTAATGCGGCGACTGTCTCCTCCCCCCCGCTGAGGCTGCGCTCTCCCCCCTTCCTCCCCCTCATTGTTAATTCAAGCTCCGCGCGGCCCGCTTAGCTTCGACCGGAAGAGGTGCGCTCTCGACCCGCGAACCAAAAACTGTCTCCTCCCTCCCCGTCTGTTTGTGCCACTGCATGCCCCCGTACTTCCTTGGTCCAGGCTGCACTCATGGGGGTCACTACTGAATGGGCCAGTGGGGATCCGCGAAGCGGCTAGAATGTCCCCCACGCCCCCACGAAAAAAACGTCGTGCCTCGTTCACGGCGCGAGGGGTCTGGCTTTCGCGCCATGACTCGGCCCTCCAGCGGCAGCTCGGGACTATTACCACTCTCGGCAAGGCGCAGATCCTGCAAACCATCCCGAGACGAGAGAAAGCTTCAACAACTGCAGAAGAAAGCAGAAAACGTCCAGGACGGAAACCACAAGGAGGGCGTCTGGGAGCCCGCCGTCCGCTCCCCACCCGCCAGCGCGGCGACAGAGCCGGTGGGCGCCTGCACCTTTCGGTACCAGGCCTTGTGGTCCTCGTCGTCGATCTTGAGCGCCGCCTCGGCCGCCTCGGTCGGCGAAACGAGTCGTCGTCGTTGTTGTCGTCGTTGCCGTCGTCGTCGTCGTCGCTGGCGGCGGCGGTGGCGGCAGCGTCGACGACATCGCAGTCGTCCCCCTCCTCCCTCCTCCTCCCTCCTCCCCCCTCCATCCTCCATCGAAGAAAGAGGCTCGAACGAAGAAGGGGAAGAAACAAGGACTCGTGTCTTTTTTGTTTCAAATCTGGTCGATATCGTGGAGTTCAGCATGCAACCTCGCAGAAGCCCCTACCGACCGCCTGCCTCGCTGGCATCGGGACTCTGAGTGGCGTAGCCGTCTGCTCGCAACATCATATTGAAGCATACCCTGCCCTCGTTCAAGATCCACTGCTCAAGAAACAAACCGCGAGAAGGGGGTGGAGGAGGAGGAAGAAGAGGAGGAGCAGGAGGAAGCGGGGAGGCGAGGGGAGGAGGAGGACGACGACGAAGAAAACGACGGCGAGTAACGACAGCGGCGGCGGCGGCGACGACGAAAGTCGACGACAACGACAACGACGACAACGACGACGAGGACGAGGACGAGGACGACATTGACGACGATGACGACGGCGGCGACGGCGACGGCGACGGCGGCGGCGAAGACCAGCGGTGGGTGCACAGGGGCGGGAGGGGTCCGCCGCCTCGAGAGCCGTTTGGAAGAGCTCCAGCCTCAGGGCCGCCTGCGCCTCGGTCGTGCGCTCCTCCTTCTTCTCCTCCTCCTCCTCTTCCTCCTCCTCCTCCTTGTCCTCCGCCTTGTCTTCCTCCTTCTCCTCCTCCTCCTCCTCCTCCTCGTCATCCTTCTCCTCCTCCTCTTCCTCCTCCTTGTCCTCCTGGGTCATGCATTCCTCCTCCCCCTCCCCCTCCCCCTCTCCTCCTCCTCCTCCTCCTCCTCCTCCACCTCCTCCTCCCCGCATTATCCTTCGCTTCTCTCTTCGCCTCCGCCGTTCATACTCCGCACGGATGTCCTTTTCCTTCTCCTCCTCCTCCTCCTCCTCCTCCTGCTCCTCCTCCTTATCATCATCATCAGCATCATCATCATCATCATCATCACCACCACCATCATCATCATCATCATCATCATCATCATCATCATCATCATCATCATCATCATCACCATCATCATCATCATCATCATCAGAATCAACATAAACAGCATCATCAGCATCAGGATCATACTCACCATCATGATCAGCATGATCATCATCATCATCATGATCATCAGCATCATCATCATCATCATCATCATTAGCAGCATCATCATAATCACCGCCACCACCAACAACAACACTTACTACCACCACCACCATCAAGTGATCAGCATGATCATCATCATCATCATCCTCAGCAGCAGAATGATCATCACCACCACCACCATCCTCACTAGCAGCATCATGATGATCATCATCAGCAGCATCATCAGAATCATCACCATCGTCATACTCATATTCATCATCACCATCACGATCAATATCACCATCAGCATCAACATCAGCATCATCTGCATCACCATCATCACCATCACAATCAGCATCACCATCAGCATCAACATCAGCATCATCAGCGTCACCATCAGCATATTCATCTTCAGCATCACCATCATCATCATCACCATCAGCATCATCAGCAGCATCAGCATCGTCCACGTCGTCATCGCCATCACCAGCGACACCTGCATCACCAACCACCATCATCGTCAGCAGCAACCGCATCAACACCATCCCATCACCATCACGTCATCCCCATCCTGCCCATCCTCATCTTCCGTCATTCCTCTACATCGCTCCCCTCCTCTTCCTGCTCCTTCTCCTCCTGATCATCATCACCGTCCTCATCATCATCATCATCATCATCATCATCAGCATCATCATCATCATCATCGTCATCATCATCAGCCGCATCACCATCATCGCCATCATCATCAGCATCATTATCATCATCAGCATCACCATCACAATCATCAGAAGCAACATCATCAGCGTCACCATCAGCATCAGCAACATCATCATCAGCAGCATCATCGGCATCACCATCGCCGCCAGATCAGCATCAGTAGCAGCAACATCATCATCACCATCACCATCATCATCACCATCAACATACCATGCATAATCGTCATCATCCTCAACAACAGCATCATCATAACCGTCATCGGCATCACCATCATCATCGTCATCATCATCATCAACATCATCATCAGTATAATCAGAATCCGTCTCCCTCCGCCGCCGCGGCGGGCGAGCGCGGGCGGAGGCCCGCCTTGTTCTTAAGGCACGCGAGCTGCTCGTCCTGCGGGCGGGCAGCCGCGACAGGCCAGGCTGGGACGGCATCCTCCTCCTCCCGCCCTCCCTCCTCCTCCTCTTCCTCCTCCTCCTCCTCATTCTCCTCCGTCTCCTCCTCCTCCTCCTCCACATAGTTCTCCTCCTGCTCCCTGCACCGTGCTCCATCTTCCCTCCTCCCTCCTCCCTCTCCCCCCTCCCTGCTCCCTCCTCCCTCCTCCCTCCTGCCTCCTACCTCCTCCCGCATTCCCCCTCATCCTCTCTCATTCCTCCTCCCTCCTCCCTGCTCCCATCTCCCTCCTCCCTGCTCCATCCCTCCTTTTCCCCCTCCTCCCTCCCCCCTCTGCTCTCCTCCCTCCTCCTCCCTCCTCCCTTATCCCTCCCTCCTCCTCCTCCTCCTCCTCCGCCCTCCCCTCCTGCTCCTCCCCCTCCTCGTCTTCCTCCTCTTGCCCCCGGCTCCCTGCTCCCTGCTCCCCTGCTCCCCTCCTCCCTCCCCCTCCCTCCCCCCCTCCCCCCTCCCCCCTCCCCCCCCTCCCTCCCCTCCCTCCCTCCCTCCCTCCCTCCCTCCCTCCCTCCCTCCCTCCCTCCCTCCCTCCCTCCCTCCCTCCCTCCCTCCCTCCCTCCTCCTCCCTCTCCTCCTCCTCTCTCCTCCTCCCCTCCTCTCCTCCTCCTCCTCCTCCTCCTCCTCCTCCTCGTCCTCCCCGTCCTCCTCGTCCTTCTCCTCCTCCTCCTCCTCCTCCTCCTCCTCCTCCTCCTCCTCCTCCTCCTCCTCCTCCTCCTCCTCCTCCTCCTCCTATTTCTCCTCCTCTTAGTTATCCTCCTCTTATTTCTCCTCCTCTTCTTCCTCCTCCTCCTCCTGCTCCTCCTCCTCCTCCTCCTCCTCCTGACCCGCCTCCTCCTCATCCTCCTCTTCCTCCTCCTCCTTCTCCACCTACCTTCTCCTCTCTCCTCCTCATCCATCCCTCCTCCTCACCTCTGCCTCCACATCCTCTTCCTGCTCTCCCTCCCCCACCTCCACATCCACCCCCACCTCACCTTCTTCATCATCACCATCTCCACCAGCATGCATAGATATCATCATCACCATCCCTCACCATGCCTCTTCCTCCTTCTCATCCTCCTCCTCCTCATCTTTTTCTGATTCCTCACCCTTTCTCCTCGGCCTCCCCCTGCTAACCCCGCTCCTCGTTCTCCGCCCTCTTCCTCCTCCTCCTCCTCCTCCTCCTCCTCCTCCTCCTCTCCTCCTCCTCCTCCTCCTCCTCCCCCTCCCCCCTCCTCCTCCTCCTCCTCCTCCTCCTCCTCCTCCCTCCTCCTCCTCCTCCTCCTCCTCCTCCTCCTCCTCCTCCTCCTCCTCCTCCTCCCCCTCCCCCTCCCCCTCCCCTCCCCCTCCTCCTTCTCCTCCTCCTCCTCCATCATCCCTCGACCTTATGGATAACTCATCCCTGTCGCACCCCGAGACGGGTCGGTAGGGCGGGCTGTGCGTTTCGCCTGAGACTTCCGCACCATGTATTATCCTGGAGCTTGAACTTTGCAAAACTTCACGAATGGAGGGCGGGTCGTATTCAAAATGTGGTTCTTGCCCGCGCCGCGCACACATTCGTCTTCAATTAGCCTGGCGAAAGACTCAACCATATGCAGTTGTGAGTGCCGTCGTTGTTAGTATCGCCTTCGGCGGATCTCCTTATCGGGCCAGAAACCGCGTGAAGGGTGTGCCAAAATGGGGGGGGGCCGCCATGCGGGCGCTGCCACTGGGGCCTTCGGTACAGCCCCCTTTATGGGGCCACAAAACGCGTGAGGGGTGTGCCGAATTGGGGTGGCGCCGCCATGCGGGCGCTGCCACTGAGGCCTTCGGTGAAGCTCCCTATGGGGCCACGAAACGTGAGGGGTGTGCCAAAATAGGGCGGCGCCGCCATGCGAACTGGACCTTAGACGGACCTCCATATGGGGCCACGAAACGTGTGTGGGGTATGCGAAACTGGGGCGGCGCCGCCATGCGGACTGCGCCACTGGGACCTTAGGTGGAGCTCCCTATGGGGCCACGAATCGCGCGTGTGCCAAAATGGGGCGCCGCCGCCATGCGAACTGCACCATTGGGACCTTAGGTGAAGCCCCCTTATGGAGCCAAGAAGCGTGTGAGGGGTATACCGAAATGGGGCGGCGCCGCCATGCGAACTGCGCCACTGGGACCGTAGGTGGAGCTCCTTCTGGTGCCACGAAGCGTGTGAGGGATGTGCCAAAACGGGCCGGCGCCGCCATGCGGACTGCACCACTGGGACCTTAGATAAAACCTCCCTGTGCGGCCACGAAGCGTGTGAGGGGTGTGCCGAATTGGGGTGGCGCCGCCATGCGAACTGCGCCGCTGGGACCTTTAGGTGGAACTCCCTATGGGGCCACGCAACGTGTGAGGCGTGTGCCAAAATGGGGCGGCGCCGCCGTGCGAACTGCGCCACTGGGACATCAGATGGACCTCCCTATGGGGGCCACGCAGCGTGTGAGGTGTGTGCCGAATTGGGGCGTGCCAAAATGAGGCGGCGCCGCCATGCGAACTGCGCCACTGGGACCTTAGGTGGAGCTTCCTATGGGGCCACAAAACGTGTGAGGTGTGTGCCAAAAAACGGGGCGGCGCCGCCATGCGAACTGCACCAGCGGGGCCTTAGGTGGAGCTCCCTGTGGGGGCACGAGAGATGTGAGGTGTGTACCGAAATTGGGCGGCGCCATCATGCGAACTGCGCCACTGGGACCTTAGGTGGAGCTCCCTATGGGGCCACGAAACGTGTGAGGTGTGTGCCAAAATGGGGCGGCGCCGCCATGGGAACTGCGCAAATGCCATCTAATGTCCCATTTGAAATGGGACATTAGATGAAGCTCCCTATGGGGCCACGAAGCGGGTGAGCGATGTGTCCGGAATTGGGGCGGCGCCGCCATGCAAACTGCACCACTGAGACCTTAGGTGGAGCTCCCTATGGGGCCACGAAGCGTGTGAGGTGTGCCAAAATAGGGCGGCGCCGCCATGCGAACTGCGTCACTAGGACATCAGATGGATCTCCCTATGGGGCCACGAAGCGTATGAGGTGTGTGCCGAAGCTGATGGCGATGATGGTGGCGATGATGAGGACGATGATGGTGGTGATGAGGATGGTGAGAATGACGATGATGATGACGACGACGATGATGCTGCTGATGCTGATGATGATGGTAATGATGGGAGGAGGGAGGAGGAGGCGGAGAAGAGAAGAGAGCAACGCGAGGACCGTCTCTTCAAAACGAGGACCCAACACCACAGGAGGATTGGGACAAATGCAAAAAAACTGATGGAGAGCGGCCCGTTTTCAACATGTGGCTCTCGCCTCAACGCCGCACACATGTGTCTTAAACAATGCAAGAGATGTACGGATGGAAGGCGACCGGTTTTGAACATATGGCTCTCCCCTTAGCACTGCGCAGATTCGTTCTAAATGTTCGCAAGAGTTGCACGGATGGAAAGCGGTTCCTTTTAATCATGTGGTTCTCGCCTCAGCGCCGCGCACATTCCTTTTCAGAGTTTATAACAGTTTCGAAGATTCGCATGGCTGGCGTCCTCTAGAATGTGTGTTGGCACGGTTTAGGATTGTCAGGGCGTGACAGTGCCGTTGATTTGCGGTGTCGACGTTCCAATTTAGGATCGTCAGGTCGCAACAATAACTTTCATTCGCGGCGTTGAAATCGCAGGAGCTGTGCCCTGGCACAGTTGTCTTCCAACCGGGCTCTCCCATGAAAAGCGAGATTGGAAGGAGGGCGTATTGCAACATCGTGGAGGAGTCTTGGGCTTATACTGGTCCTCCTCCTTCCTCCTCCTCCTCCTCCTTCCTCCTTCCTCCTCCTCCTCCTCCTCCTCCTCCTCCTCTTCCTCCTCTCCTCCTCCTCCTCCTCCTCCTCCTCTCCTCCTCCTCCTCCTCCTCCTCCTCCTCCTCCTCCTCCTCCTCCTCCTCTCCTCCTCCTCCTCCTCCTCCTCCTCCTCCTCCTCCTCCTCCTCCTCCTCCTCCTCCTCCTCCTCCTCCTCCTCCTCCTCCTCCTCCTCCTCCTCCTCCTCCTCCTCCTCCTCCTCCTCCTCCTCCTCCTCCTCCTCCTCTCCTCCTCCTCCTCCTCCTCCTCCTCCCTCCTCCCCTCCTCCTCCTCCTCCCTCCTCCTCCTCCTCCTCCTCCTCCTCCTATCCCTCCTCCTCCTCCTCCTCCTCCTCCTCCTCCTCTCCTCCTCCTCCTCCTCCTCCTCCTCCTCTTATTTCTCCTCCTCATCATGCCCCCACTCCTCTCCTTCCCCCCCCCGTGCTCCCCTTGCTCCTTGCTCCCCGCTCCGCGCCCGCTCCCCGCATGCCCCCCTGCCGCTCCGCCCACCCCTCCTCTGCCTCCTCCTTCGCGCCCCCCCCCACGACCCCCTCCTCCTCTCCTCCTCCTCCTCCTCCTGCTCCTCCTCCTCCTCTCCTCCTCCTCTCCTCCTCCTCCTCCTCCTCCTCCTCCTCCTCCTCCTCCTCCTCCTCCTCCTCCTCCTCCCCTCCTCCTCCTCCTCCTCCTCCTCCTCCTCCTCCTCCTCCTCCTCCCCTCCCCCTCCCCCTCCCCCTCCCCTCCCCTCCCCCTCCCCTCCCCCCTCCCCCTCCCCCTCCCCTCCTCCTCCTCCTCCTCCTCCTCCATCATATGCAGTTGTGAGTTCCCTCGTGGCGACCGGTCCCCTCCGTCGTGCCGTCGCCTCGTCGTCGCCGCTCGTCCCCGAGGACTGGGGCCCCGCGTGCTCGGCTCGATCCTCCGTGCCGCCCTCGGCTCGGCCGATCGTGTCCGCGGCTCGGCACGGTCGAGAAGGATAAGGCCTTCTCAGAAGCCCTCGCGCCTTCTCCGGGGAAGGCTCAGAAAACTTCTCAGAAAGCCGGGGGACTTCCGAGCCTTCTGAGAAGGCCCGCCCCTGCTCGCGTCCCCCCCTCGCTCGCCGCCCGACCAGGGCGGCGCCATCGACCGAGCGGGGCCGCGGACAGCAACCCTCGAGGCGCGGGGCTGTGCGTATGATGTGCAAGAGTGGACTTAAGGCACGTCCCGCCCTGTCGGCCCCTGCTAGTGCCTATGAGTGTCCCTACTAGCGCCTCTTAGCACCTTTTGGCGCTTAGTGTCTACTAGCCCCTACGTTCTAGCGACCACCCACCAGCAGGAAGAAAGGCTACTGCCCGGGGAAAACAACAGCTCTATGCTTACAGTGACCCTCACGCACAGCACACCTGAGCGGAGGGGGGCCCGGCGCGTGGCCGCCACCCGGCCTGCAGCCACTTGCGCTCGTTCCGCAGGTGCGCCTCCACCCGCCACTTGCGCAGCTCCTCTCCGCGCCGAGCGGCGGGCAGCGGGCGGGGCGAGTCCAAGACTACGACGGGCGTCTTCTGGCAACGTGGATTTTGGGCCTCTGAGGCCGTTCTGGGGCCCCGAGGCCGTGAGAAAGCGAGCCGCGGCGCAAGGCCAGTCCCGGGATAGGGTCGAGAGCTCCAGGGTCGCACGCCTGCAGCTTGAGGAACCCACGAACCTGGCAAGGAAACTATTACGTAGGATACAGTGGAGGCCCGACCACAAGAAGACTTCCACAAGAAAACAAACCCTGAGACCCGAGGACATCCATTAACCCTGTAGCGTGGGAAACGTCACGCCTTCTACAGCAAAACCATCGAGACCCAAGAAACCCAGGGCACCCTGGAGGCAAGCAGGGTGTTTTGGCATGGGCCTCCACTGTAATCTGCTGACAAGCTTCTCTGGGGACGCCTCCATCTGTGAGGATGTCTCAGACGAGAGCCAAGCTCTTGAAGGACCATCGAAGTCGGGAGCTCACTGAACATCTCATCGGATATCGAGGCGAAACGCCCTCCCCCCAAACACCATGTTGGAGATCGTGTGCCACGGAGAGGACACGCGTGACCAGCTCTTCCGTGAGCCTCCAAATTTGGGATTCGGAAGTGGGGGGGGGCGTCTGCGTCGTCGGAAGGGGCGTTTGCAGGACTCGCGTGACCGCATTTTTGTTGGGGGGCCTCCGCATTTGGGAATCGGAAGTGGGGGGGACGTCTGCGTCGTGGGAAGGGGCGTTTGCGTTGTCGTCGCTCGTCGGCAGGCGAGACGCCCGCCCCCTCCCACCATGTTCGATGTCCGTCGCAGGATCTCCAACGTCTGAGTTGTCTGAGAACGTCTCAGGCGAAAGCTTCACTTTTGAAAACCAGTGTCGCTCCAACAAACCCGCCAACATCCCCATTGCGTGAGGATGTTTCAAGCGAAACGCCCCTCCCCTCCCCCCCCAAACACACACACACACACACTTTTGCGCCGGCGGCTGGGCAGAGGGTGACTGCTCCGGCGATCGGGCATCAGGGGGCGCACTGGATGCAAATTCAGGCCGCGATGCACAAGGGAAGAGGAGGAGGCCCCGGCGCGACGGGAAGAGGGGAAGCCGGGCCCGCTTCAGACACACACACACACACCATGTCCGATACGTGACGCCCGACCATTAAAGTCTCATTTGTCTGAGGATGTCTCAGGCGCAAGCTTCACTTATGAGAACCAACGCCGCTCCAACAAATCCCCCAGCATCCCAATTGTGTGAGGATGTCTCAGGCGACACGCCCCCCCACACCACGTTGGATATCCGACGCCCGATCTCCAACATCGCATTTGTTTCTTCTGAGGATGCCTCAGGCGAAAACCTCACTTTGAGAACCAACGTCGCTGCAACAACTCCTTTCACATTTTTTGTGTGAGGAGGTCTCAGTGGAAACGCCCCTGGCGACACCATGTTGGATACCCGACGCCCGATCTCAGCATCTAAACTTTATGAGGATGCCTCACAAGAAACCACATTTTGAAGGACCGGCGTCGCTCGCAACATGCCCATTGCGTGCGAATGTCTCAGCGGCAACTCTTCCTCACCCTGCTCGTCACCCCTCTGGTCTAAAACCAAAGGCCCGATGACAAAGAGAACCCTGGGAACAAACCCACGGGGAAGAGCACAGCGTCGGAGCTCTGGGCGTGGAGGCAGTCGGAGGACGCCAACTGTCCACACGCACCGGCCCTGGTGATGCCCGTACCAGGCCCCCGGGACCGCTGGACACGCCCCTTTGGCTTGGCTGGGGAGGCACACTCCCACAGGGTGCGATGACCGATGCGGCCAGCCGAAGTTGCGTACACGTGCAGGAGAAAGGCGGCGCCATGGGAGACAGCCTTCTGGAGGTCGGACAGGAGTGCGGTATAAAAGGGTGTTGTGCCAGTGCTAAGAACGGCGATGGTATCTACAGTATCCGCGAGCGTGCTATCCCGATTTCAACAACCTTAGCTTTGCGCCGACCGCCCCAAACAACGTCAGAATGTCTGATCACAAATTTCGCTAACGACCGCAGTGCTATGTGAACGGCAACACAAACAAAAATTCCAGGGCGCCCGATCACCAAACACACACTTTCGGATATTCCGAATCGCGCAGAGCGTGATTCCGTAATTTCCGTCCCGCCAGAAACGATATTCTGTAAATTTTAAAATCAGAAATAATACTGTTCCGATTCAAGACATAGTTCCGGAAACTTCGAAACGACGTTCCAGACATTCCAGAATCCGCCGGCCCGCTTGCGGGGCCATCAGGCTGCGAGGATTAAGGTTGCTGCTCCCTGCACAAGTTCCAGCTTCCAGTTTCCATTGTTACAATACTGCTTTCTGCTTCCTACTGTACTTTGTTACTGTCCGCGCGAGGGGGGGGAGCCGAAAACCGTCCTGGTCAGCACCCCCCGGAGGGGTTCTCAGAATTCCTGCGGGGGGTAAAAATTAACACCCCTCACGCAGATCGGCGGGGTCAGGGTCCAAAAACATATGGGATTTGCCACATATCTGAAATTCGGTGGCACCCCTCACGCAGATCGGCGGGGTCAGAGTCCAAAAACATATGGAATTAGCCACATTTCTGAAATTCGGTGGCACCCCTCACGCAGGTCGGCGGGGTCAGGGTCCAAAAACACAAAGGATGCGCTGCATTTTTAGAAAATGTCCTCACACCCCTCACGCAGATCGGGGGGGTCAGGGTCCAGAAACATTCGGGATTTGCAACATGTTTTAAATTCGGTGGCACCCCTCACGCAGATCGGCGAGGTCAGGGTCCAAAAACACCAGAGATTTACCACATTTGTAAAATTTCCAAGCACCCCTCACGCAGATCGGCGGAGTCAGGGTCCAATTCGGTGGCACCCCTCACGCAGATCGGCGAGGTCAGGGTCCAAAAACATATGGGATTTGCCACATATCTGAAATTCGGTGGCACCCCTCATGCAGATCGGCGGGGTCAGGGTCCAAAAACACAAAGGATTTGCCACATTTCTGAAATTCGGTGGCACCCCTCACGCAGATTGGCGGGGTCAGGGTCCAAAAACATATGGGATTTGCCACATTTCTGAAATTCGGTGGCACCCCTCATGCAGATCCGTAGGGTCAGGGTCCAAAAACACAAAGGATTTTTCAGCATTTTTGAAATTCGGTGGCACCCCTCACGCAGATCGGCAGGGTCAGGGTTGAAAAACAAATAAGTCCCGACACTGCTTCACGGCAAAGCCAAAGCCTCATGACTTCGCTCTTCCATGGCCCATTCTCCGAGAGAGGGGGCTGGCGGCAGGGGGCGAAGCCCTTACGGATCACATAAATGATTCCAGGAAATTCCGAAACTTCTGGGTTCGCGTGCCTGGCGACAGGGGAATGGAGCTTTCTGTCGACGTTCTGATTGGGCGGCGGTCGTTCGGAAAAACTAGAATTATGAATGATGCCTTTGTTGAAGCGACCGTCGCAACAACAAGGCTAGTGAAATCAGGATGCAGCGCGCTTGCTGCGATGGTAGATCACATCGCCATTTCAACACTGGCACCGCACTCCTGTATACCACACTTGTTTCAGACTTCCGGGAATCAAAATAAACAGGCACGTGTTTTCATCTGGCGCCGAAATGAAAACAACAAACGGATCCCGAACTACGGGAACTACAGAAACGGGTTACGCTCGACGTAAAGGCACCGCCTTGCGTGGGAGCGTCAGCCAAGCTGAAGGCCCCAGCTGGAGATCATTCGTTTATCCGACGGGGCTAACGCGTATCACGGGGGAGGGGTCGGCGGACGGGGGGGGTAATGGTAACGACAGCCGCGGCGTGCAGACCCCAAGGCGCACCCGCAACACTGGCGCAACAATCGCCCGTGTGCACCACAGTCCCTGTTTACACTACAACGCTTGAGTGCCTGTGTACACCACATTCCCGACGAGGTCCAAACTCGGGAAGATCGCGGTGGGCATGAACGAATCAAATACACATATACGTTGTTTGTGGTTATTGATTTTGTGTCCCAGGATACGGTCCACCCTGGGTATTGGGCCCGCAGCGCCTGCGCTCAGCTACAACATTACGCTTGCGCAACCACAGCAGCCGTGTGCACAACGCTCCTGGCGACTGCGCCCACTTGCGCACACCAAAAAGCCAACGTACACCCCAAAGTCCCGACGTTGAATACGTGAGGTATGTGTGATTATTGAATCGCTTCGCTCATTCCGCCGGCCCGTGATATGGCATCGCTGGTTTTTGTCTGTGTGTTCGTTGCCCATGTTGCGCTCTTGGGGGCGGGTGTCGTTCGGACGCGTTGCGTGGGGAGTTTTGATGGTGAAGCAGTTCCCTGGGGGTCGTCTCTCGATGGGGCGAAATAGAGTCGTCGTCAAGATGCTTCTTTGGGGGGCCTCTTGGGGTCTGTTGAGAGGCCGTTCGGGGGCGCCTGGGAGACATGTTTGAAGCCTTCTGGGGCTTCTTTTGGGCCTCCTGGGAGTCTCCTGGGGCCTCTTGGCGACATCTTGGGGCCTCTTGGAGGCCTCTTGGGGCCTCTTTGGGACCTCCTGGGCGCCTTCTGGGACGGAGGGCTCCATTTTTGAGTTCTCGGTATCCCTCCTGAGTCCCTCTTGGGCCCGTCTTGGGGCCTCTTGGTCCGTCTTGGGCGGCACTTGGGCCGTCTTGAGGGCTCTCTTGGGTCGTTTCGGCGCCGTCTTGGGAGCTTCGTGGGCCGTCTTGGAGCGGTCTTGGGGGCCTCTTGGGCCGTCTTGGAGCGTCCGGAAGCCGAAAAAGCCAGAACACAAAAAACATCGAAAAAACCAATGAAAATCAACGATTTTGGCCTCTTGGGGCTCTCTTCGGAGGCCTCTTGGAAGGCTCTTGGGGCGTCTTGGAGGCCTCTTGGGCTGTCTTGGGGGCCTTTTGGGCCGTCTTGGGGTCATCTTCGGCGTCTTCGAGCGCTCTTTGGGCGTCTCGGGGGCCTCTTGGGCAGTCTTGGGGGCCTCTTGGGGCACTCTGAGCGCGCTCTGGGGAGCCTGAGAGGCCGCACCCAGAAGGAAAACCATCTCTGAGTAGACTTGGTCGGGCGGCGGTCGGGCGGCGGTCGGGCGGCGGTCGGGCGTTGGTCGGGGTACTTTTCGCCGGGGGACCCCCAGGGGCCGCCCCGCGCGCGCGAACTAGAAATACTGTTAATACTGTTAACCAGTTACCGGAGATCTTAGCACGCCCTGGCCCGTTGGGCCGGCGAATTGATGTTCCTGGCCTGCAACACGGTCCGCCCTTTAATTTGGGCCCGCCGTGCCTTCGTGTACCAGAACGCTGGTGTACAACACAATGGTTGCGCCACCACAGCAGCCGTGCGCACCACAGCCCCTAGCGCCTGCGTTCACCACAGTGCTTGTCTACACGCATGTGTACACTACAAGGGTTGTATACATCTCCAAGGTCCCGACGGGAAGCACCAACTCCAGAAAGTCGTAGCGGACCCACAAACGTATTCAATTCAAAATGTAAGTCGTTCGTGATTATTCCTGTTCCTGGCCAGGAATACACTCAACTCTACCGCAGTGCTTTCATGTACCACAGGGTTGTATACATCTCCAAGGTCCCGACGGGAAGCACCAACTCCAGAAAGTCGTAGCGGACCCACAAACGTATTCAATTCAAAATGTAAGTCGTTCGTGATTATTCCTGTTCCTGGCCAGGAATACACTCAACTCTACCGCAGTGCTTTCATGTACCACAGCGCAGGCGTACAACACGATGACTGCGCAAGCACAGCAGCCGTATGCGCCTCTTGCTCTTCCTCCTCCTCCTCCTCCTGCTCCTCCTCCAGCTCCTCCTCCTCCTCCTCCTCCTCGTCCTCCTCCTCCTCCTCCTCATCCCCCCTCTTCCTCACATTTCAACAGATGGATCTAAGAGTCCTGTTCCTGTTCGGATCCGAAGGAGCTGCATGGGGGTCCCTACAAGGTCGTATGGAAATAGCAGGGATTCACGCATGTGACCAGCTTCAAGGCGTTTCCAGTGAAGGGGGGGGTGTCTGGGGAGGTAACACGCTATGGTATGGTCGAACGTAGCTGAACGCCGAGCAGCAAAAGTCACACACACACACACGCACACCTCTTTCTCCGACGGCCGAGGTGTGGATAGTTGTCGTACCCTGAGGGGGGGAAGGTGGGCTCGTCTCCTGGGCCCTCGTCTGCTCTATGAACCAACCGGTGGCAGCAAGGAGACGGGCGAGGACGGGCGAGAATGTGCGAAGCACACACTGCAACAAGCTGTCAGCAACAGGCGAACCCATGCACGAGCCCCTTTTGTATTTTATCTTTGTGGGGAGGGAGAAGATGTGAGAGGACATGTTGGCACCGCGGGGAGAGCACGGTGCAACGAGAAAGCGGTCGCACTTGAAAGCCGTCTTCTTCCTCACCCAGGAGGGGGGGAGGATAGCCCCATGCACGGACCTGTGGCTTAGGAGGTCGGGCACAGAACTGTAGTTCGGGCCCTCTCAGGACCTTCTGGGAAGCACGCCCAACAGGCTCTGGAAATACCGGAACACTGGCGCGGCCCTAACTAAGTAGGGGTGCTAACTTTGCTGAAGGCACGCGTTTGCAGCGACCTGCAACACAAGGCACTGCAATGCAAATCATATCACAGCAGAACATAACAGCTCCCTGCGTACTGCGTAGCATGTTGTCGCATAGCACCGCTCCCTCGCAATGCATAGTACAGCATGGGGTACCGTGGTACAACATTGTGTACCTTAGCATCTGATCGACATGCCTAACAGAACACTGCACACCCAAGACAGCCTCCAGCGGTGAAGGTCGCAATGGCAACGTTTGAGACAATCCCTCCTCTGAATCCTGTGAAAACCCTGTCGTCGCTGCAACCCTGCAATTGAACGCAGCAGCAACAATCTCAGCCACCACATCTGCTGTAATACTTTGGTTCTGGTGCGTCTTGCCTAACAACGCATTCCCGGGGACGACGGCTTGAACATACATCCGAACGACTGCCGCTCCCACAATCAAGATCAGGCCATTCGTCTCCGACTCATGTTTGTTGTGGGTCTACGTGTGCTTGTCCCAGCGTGTATGTCTAAACTCTGGCTGAGCAGCAAACTTGCAGATCAACTATCCCCGACAACTCCTTGTCATACACGCACAAGTAAACGGGGGGAATACGAAGAGTGGGAGGATGAGGGGGAACGGGAGGAGCAGAGGTGCACTGATGCGTGCAATATCGCTTCACGCATCACGCGCAGATCGCTCGTCAAAGACAAATGGATACATAACCACCCGCCCCCCGAGTCCTCGTCGCCGCGCGAGTAGTCAAACAGAGCCTCCTGACAGAAGCAATTGCGTGTCACTTCCATTGCCACTCAACCCCGCACAGTGGCCCACATGTCCATCCCCATCCCTATCCCCGTCTAAACAGCGCTGTTCACAAAGGCAACTGCGAACACGTGCGATCCACTCCCCCTCCTCATACTCAAGCTCGTTCTTATCCGTCGTCTCGTCCTACTCGCCGTCTTCCTGCAGAACTCAAAGCTACGCAAAGCAGGGCATGCAATTACGTAAACACTGCTTATAAATCCTGCATGTGCTGGGCCAGCCATGATCACTCTCTCTAAGCAAGAAGGCAATGCCAAGCTGGGGGGGGAACTACATGGCTTGTACCCACATAAGTAGTGCTATGACTCGTCGTCCTCCTCCTTACCCTTCTCATCCTCATCATTATCTTCCTTATCCATCTGCCACCGTGCCTCTGGGCACGGAGTAGAGGTGTCCTCAGGTCCTTTCCCTAGTCCTATAAGCCTCAATACTCACTCATGAGGAGTCTTCAAAGGGCCCAGAGCCCAAATTGCCAAATCTCTCGGGGTGTGACGCGGCTTTGCGCAGCTTGTGACTTGACTTTTCGGTGCCAGGAGGGCCCCAAGGAGGACCAAGCCTAGAGGCCTATGGCCCACAACCCAGACACGGTGGCGGGATGGGCCGAAGGCCATTCGATATTCTTCCTCCGCCCTCTCGTGCTCATTCGGCTCTATCATCCCTTCTGTGTCCTCATCCTCCTCCGCCGCCCTCTTTTTTCCACTCATCCTTCTGCGTACTCGTCCTTCATATTTCTCCATCGTCGCCCGTTCCATCCGATTTCCCCCTTCTGGTCCACCTTATCCTTACGATATTCCTGCTTGTATTTCTGTCTTCGTTTGAGGAGGAAGAAGTCAAAAGGGAAATAATGCGATCTCGCGACAAACGTCTTACGCAACAGCGAGAAACACGGAATCCGCCGACCCCCGCTTGCTCGGGGTGAAAAGGCGTGTGAGGCATTTGGCTGTCCCCCTCCCCCCTTCCCCCTCCCAAGGGGTCCAAACTCGCAGTAGAGAGGGGGGGAGAGCCGGACGGTGGGGGGGGAGGGGACCGGGAACTCCTCAACGCCCCCCCCGGGGCCTCTGGAGCCTCCACATCTACACTCCGTGGCTCCCAAGCTGCCAAGATGTCACCTAAGCTGGCTAAAGCTGGGCCCCAACATGTCGAGGAGTTTTCAAAGACGACCAAGATTGCCTCAAGACCTCAAGACTGCCCCAAGAGGGCTCCAAGACGAACCCCGAGAGCATGAGTTGTCCAAATTCTTTCGAGGAGGACGTAGCTTCTTAGAGCGTCCAACACGGCTCAAGAGGCCCCAAAGATCGCTCCACGACGGCCCACGGAGCCCCCAAGAGGGCCCCAAGACTGCCGAAGAGGGTGCCAAGACGGCCCAAGAGGCGCCCAAGATGGCCCAAGAGGGCCCTTAACAGGGCCCCACGAGGGCCCCACGAGGGGCAACTCGAACTAGCACTCCGAGCCCTCCGCCCCAGGGTGAACCCCGGGACCGCCAGCAGGCGCCCCCCAAAAAGTCCCAAGATGCCCCAGGCGGCCCCAAAAACATGCCTAAACGAAGCCCCCTAGAGGGGCCCCACGAGGCCCCACAAATCTTCAACCGTGGACTTCTTCTCTCTTCTGGGGGTCGGCGGAATGGCACCATCCTCTCTAATAAACGAATCACAATATGTACCATGCTCGCTCCACGAGCCGTCGCCCTCCTCCTCCTCCTCCTCCTTCTCCTCCTTCTCCTCCTGCTTCTGCTCACTGCTCACTACCCCGCTCCCTCATTCATCATTATCCTCCTCCTCCTTCTCCTCCTCCTCCTCCTCCTCCTCCTCCTCCCCGTCGTCCTCCTCGTCGTCGTCATTATCATCAACACCATCAGCATCAGTATTATCATCATCATCATCATCATCATCATCCTCATCATCCTCATCATCACCATCATCACCATTATTGTTATTGTCCTCCTCCTCATCCTCGCCCTCGTCCTCGTCCTCGTCGGTAGCCATCCTGTTCCTCGTCCGTATCCTCCTCCCTGGACTCCATCACCCCTTTCCTTTCGCCCGTATCGCCCTTATCAATCGTTGCTCTCTTCCTCCTCCTCCTCCTCCTCCTCCTTCCAGCTCTTTCGTCTTTGTCCTTATCACAGACCCCATTCCACCTCCTCTACATTACCAGCAACTTCGATATCCTCCCTCCGCTCCCTTCAATTCCCTCATCTGAGTCGTGGTCATCCTCCTCCTCCTCCTCCTCCCTCTCCTCCCTCTGCTTCCGTATCCAGCATGATTCATCCCTCGGCATCTGTCCTCATCTTTATCATCAACTTCAACACCACCACCACCACCGCAACCACAACCACCCACCGCAACCACCAACCACCACCACCACCACCACCATCAGCACCATCATCATCAGCAGCATCATCATCATCATCATCATCATCATCATCACCAGCGTCAGCATCAGTTTTATCATCATCACGCGTGCAACCATCATCAGCATCATCAGCATCATAATCATCATCATAATCAACATCACCATCATCATCATCATCACCATCATCATCGTCATCATGATCGTCGTCGTCGCTACCATCATTATCATCACCACCACCACCGTCACCATCTCCATCACAATCACCATGACACCATCACCACGATCATCATCATCATCATCATCATCATCATCATCATCAGCCTCATCCTCATCATTATCTTCCTCGTCATCCGCCTCATCTTCATCATAATCATCATCATCGTCGTCGTTACCGTCGTCGTCATCGCCATCATCATCCCATGATCTCATCATACCGTTACCATCCCATCACCTCATCATCATCATCAGCATCCGCATCATCACTGCCTAAGTATCCTCATCATTGTCATCAGCCTCATCCTGATCATCATCACCACCATCACCACCATTACCACCATCCCCATTTTCCTTCTCCTCCTTCTCCTCCTCCCTGTCCTCCCCCGCACTTATCCGACTACTTCAAACCTCTCCTCCGCGCCCTCCGCCTCACCCTGCTCCCACCCATCGTCTGCTCACCACTTCTCCCCATCCACACTCCCACCCCTCCTTTCCCTCCTCCTCCTCCCTACTCCCCCGCGTCCTCCTCCCTCCTCTTCCGCTACCCAGCCCCTCATCACTCCTCCTCCTTCCTCCACCAACTCCATCACTGCACTTCTCCGCCTCCTCCCGCCTCCTCCTCGGAGACGAAAGCGGCTTCAAGACAACACCGAATCGGCAAAGTCGGGGACCTCTGAGGTCCAGCGGTCCTGGAGGACGTCTTGGGCGCCGCGGCCGCCCCCGAGCGTTCCAGAGCGCTCTCAAGGCGCTCTGGAACCCCCTCGAGGGATCCATCCCTTTCCTGTCCGGGGCGACGATGGAGGGTGAATAGCCCAAGGGGCGACCGATGCGTGCAGCCAAGGGCGCCGCTGGCCCATGCCTTCGGCGAGGCTCCCTGGCGAACGCGTGTGCTGCCCGCACCCGGGCTCGTCGCCCCCTGTCGTCGCCTCCGACCCCGGGCCTGCCCGATCCTCCCGGCGTCCTCGTAGAGGCCCTCCCGGAACTTCGCGTTGCCCTCGAGCTTGCAGGCCTGCCCGAACTCGAGCACCTCCTCCGGCGGGCGGCGGCGGCCGGCCCGAGGCCGAGGGGGGGGGATGGGATGGGGATGGAGGCCGCCCACCCTGCCATCGCTCGGACGTCCGCTCCCCGTGGTTCCTTGTGTTTTGTTCCGCAAGATGAACTAGGACGCTCCTCGATGGTCCCCGGCGAGAAAGCATGCACACGTCCGAGCGATGCCAGGTCAGATGGGGTCCGGGTAGATGGTGCGGGCAGGACAACTATTTCCACTCACCAGAGGAGCAACGAGTTGCATATACAAAACATGAACTTTCGGCGGTCCGCGCGGATTTCTTGGATCTGCGCTGAGCCCCATCCCTGGCGCGCAGAGCGCGCCAAGGACGGCGCCAGATGTGCCGCTAGGGGCCCCAGCGCAGATAGAAGAAACCCGCACCGAGCGCCAACAGTTCATGTTGATGCCTTTAAACTGACGGCCTACAGACCACCTAAACCTAACCCGAAGACCCAAATTTCGGTTTGGGGGGGGTACGGGTTCCACAAGTGTTTTCTTTCAGCGTTCCCCGACGACGCCCCCATTGGGAATGGAGGGCGAATTGGGGCCTTCGGGTTGGGTTGGGGTGGTTTGGTGGGTGGTAGTGAGGTAGTTGGCACGGGCCGAGTGGTGGCAGCCGAGTGGTGGCAGCAGCGGCCACGGTGACAGGCCGCCTTCTGTACCGCCCGAGTGATGATGCACCGCTTGGGGTGCTAAGTGAAAAGCAGGTTGGATCGGATCTTCTACCGAGGTGGGCGGTCCAGCGTGCACCACCAGAGTGGACAGCGCCCGAGGATTTGTTAGCCTGGGCTATTCAGAGGGGATGGACGAATGTGACATCATCACCTACACGCACGGGACGACGCACTTGGTTCTTCAGAGGAGATCTTGCTGCAGCGTGCTCGCAGAATGACAAAGCATACAATTTCAGCAGTGGGGTTATTGTGACACCAGCGAAGCCTCCGCAACGGAAAGATCGTGAACGACCGCAAGGAGTCAAAGCTCAGAGTGTGTGGGGAGTGGCGCCGCCAAAGGTCTCGTTCACCACGCACGAAGAGGACAAGCCAGATGACGAGGCACCTCCAAACCCGCCTGCAGCTCCACCTCCTGCTGCTGCTGAAGGGGCCGAAGGTGACCAGCCCAATCGTCGACCAGCCGAAGCAGACCCTGCTAGGGCTCGAGCGGCCAAGCAGGCAAGAACAGCAGCTCCAGACCCGCCGTGGAAGGAGCACTGTGATGTACAAGACAATGGAGGCCAAGGTGATTGTGCTTATATTGCTGTGGGCCTTGGACTCCACGAACTCAAGCCTGGACACAAGCCCGTCCCTGCCAATGAGCTGGTACCTGGAGGACGTGTCCAGCAATCTTTGCGCCTCCTGGTAGCGGGAGAAGTAAAGAAGAACAAGCAGAAGTATGGAGCTACTGATGCAGATATTCTAAGAATTGGAACGTGTGGCAAGATGGCTGATTCTCTCACAATCAAGTGTACTTCTATTGCCGCAAAGGTTGATATTCGGATTTGGAAATTCAACCCAGATACCACTGGGGGTAGGTGGACCCTGTACACCAGCCCCAAGAAGTACAGCAGAGTGGTATGGGTCATGTTGAAAGATCAGCATTACCAACTGCTACGCCCCAAGGCGTCGCTCACAAAAGAAGTTGCCCAGCAATGGTGTGAAGCGGCCCTATCGTACCCAGATGCCTTCACTGGAGGAGGCAAGAGTGTGGCAGCATCCAGCAGCCACAAAGACGACGCCTTTGACGAGGATGATGCGAGGAGTTTCTTTGGTATCTCAGCTGCCTCTACTACGTCAGAGGTCAAGAGGGCGAGGTCTTTCTTAGGCGTCACGCCAAAGTCACGACACAAGTCCAGAGCAAGTGCATCAGCGGCAGGTCCTGCTGAAGCTGTTCCTGATGAAGCTGCGGATCTCGAACCATGCACGCCGGTGGATGTCTCACGGTCAGCACACCTGAAGTGTCCAAGTTGTGGTTGGCTCCCTACGCGTGAGCAAGCTTGTGAAAGAGCTCAGGAGGCAAGGGTCCACTGGCGATATTGTGTCGGGACCACACCCCCTGGGAAGACGAAGGAGGCTCAAGGAGAAGCAAATCGTCAGTTTGCTATACCTGGGCGCAATCGTGCTGTTCGGCAGCGAGCTTGGTTACGCTACTGCGAGTGGTATGACAAGCTCGACGCGGATTTCAAGCCGAACGTTTGCCATGTGGTGGAGGCAAGTGCGACCACCAGACAGACAAAGAAGCAGACTGATACTTACTATTCGTGCACGAGATGTGGAGTACAGAGAACGATTGCCAAGCTAAAGCTTGAACCTTGTGCAAAGCGGGTGGATCGTACTATGAAGGCCAACGACGTGAAGGAGCGACTTCATGGCAAGGATGTTTGGGCGAAACGCTACAGGCAGACGTTGGCCAACCGTCGGAAGTGGTACGAGAAGCCAGAGAACAAAGAGTACCTGAGGAAGTGGCAGCAGGACTACTTCAACAGGCCAGGGCAGCGCACCTTCGCGGCCTACAGGCGCAAGATGGCGGAGAGGAAGAAGGCGGCAAAGAAGCGGGAGGCGACACGTGCTCGAGGCTGGGCGCGCAGGCGACCAGCTGCTGCTGCAGTGCTACGCCGACCTGCTGCCGCTGCAGAGTGACAAATGTCCAAGGGGTCTACTGTGGCCCACGGTGGGCCCCAGGCTGCCAGCACAATTTGCAGCAGCACAATGTACTCCCACGAGCACCCGAAGTCCTTCGGAGTGCAAGGAAGCCACCATCAAGTTCCAGAGGAAAGTATTATGAGTTTGAGTGGTTGTCTCCCCTGTCACGGATGGGCGCTTGCGCCTCACTGGCCTTCTGCGGATGAGGAAGGCTGGGCAGTGGCAGGGGAGGTCCCACGTATCAAAGCGAGCTGGTGCAGCATCATGCACCCCTACGAGGGCCTGAAGTACGATGGGGTGCAGGGAAGGCCTCATCGAGTTTCTGTGGAAAGTTTCACGAGTACGAGTGGACTCCTCCCCTGTCATGGATGGGCGCTTGCGCCTAACTGGCCTTCCGTCGAAGACGAAGGCTGGGCAGTGGCAGGGGAGACTTCACATGCCAGCATCGGCGGCAGCAACACCACGTACCTCCACGAGTGCCTGCAGTTACCTGAGGTGCATGGAGGGTATCGCCAAGTTTCTGTGGAAAGTTTCACGTATTCAAGTGCAGTTTCTGTCGAATGTTTCACTCGAATTTCTGTGGAACGTTTCACGTGTTCAAGTGAGGAGACCATGGTATCTACCTCGATACACATCCCTATCACCAATGTTATCCTGGAAGATAGCATGGCAGATGCCGTTGTCAATATTATTGCGCTCCAGGAGATACGTCAGCAGTCTACCTACCTACCCTGGAATGGACTACATGGACGGCCGCAGCTTGACAAATGCTACAAGTGCCATCGTGGATGAGGAGTTCCATTTCACGACCAAGCTTGATCAAAATGGTGGTTTCGCTGAGAACCAGATCAAACGTCAAGATTGGAGTCGAGATGATGACCCTCCGCGTGTCTTTGAACATCTGGGGTTAAAATGTCGGCCAGCTGATCCTGAGTATCCAATCCTTCCAAGGAAGGGATGGCAACAAGTGTACCAGGCCCTCGAGACACTGAAGTCCAGTCCAGGAGTTTCAGATGTTCGATATTGCTTGGCTGTTTCGTATATACGACCGTTATGGTATTGGGTTGCCCCTGTGGAAGCACCTCTTCCTGATGACGTACCTCAGCTACAGCTCAGGGTTATCATCAGAACGTCTACGAAGTGGTGGGGCCATGGCAGGTGGTGGGCTCAAAGAATACACCTTCTATTCAGATACGGTGCAGCGTTATTCGCCCTTCTAGTGACAGACGAATCTTGGGCGTGGTCGGAGGTTCTGGAGCACTCACAGAGTGCACACGTGGCGACCTTTGGCCTCACGTATAGCAGATGTTCAGAGCAGCGGGGATTACTATTCGAGTTTGATCCCCGAGATGATTATCGTGTCCTGGATGCAGTTCGAGGCCTGGAAGACGCCAAGAAGAAGTTGTTCAGCATATTTCTTTCTGGCAGAAATGTATGGGTCGTATGCTCATACCATCAAGCAGCTCGTGGCACTGTTGCCACAACGAATGGCGTCCAGGCAAATTCCTGGACAAGTGTACCCAGAGTTACGTCAAAGACTGGTTGGATCGTGCTCGGCCAGGCTCAGACAGCTTTGATGCGAGCAAGAATGATGAAGGCAGCTTGTGAGTTGGGACTTCATATCCTTGCTGAAGTTCGTGCACAGCGACTACGCCATGCTGGCCCAGCTGCTGGTCCAGATGGTGGTGATTAGTCATATTTCAATGGAGCTATTCCTTGGTTAGTTTGCTTCATTCACCATCATCATCATCAGCACGGGCAATATTATAACATCCATATTCATGGCGTCTTGGGTTTTGGAGTAAGGGATGCCGAAGACCCAGGACGCAGTGGACATGGACGAACATCTGGCCCCAATAAAAACTGGAGGGTTATCCATATCCGCTGCGACTTGGAATTGAAGGGAAGGGAGCCCGAAAACCTGAGACGCAGTGGATCCGTTCATGAATCTTGTCCGCAGATGGCATCGGAGGACCGCGCCGCATCGCCGATGCATCTGCGATGCATCGGCGACGTCGTGATGCAGAACACCGAATTCCGAATCGAGCCTTGTCGCCGAACCAGCGACACGGCCGATCAACCGACCCCATCTACTCTGACCAAGCTTGGGCAGCATGAAGGGGAGGCGGGGGGTCGCTCGCCTCCTCCTCCGCCTCCCCCGCCCCCGCCTGGTCCTCGTCCTCCTCCTCCTCCTCCTCCTCCTCCTCCTCCTCCTTGTCCTCCTCCTCATCCTCATCATTATCCCTGTCTTTCTCCTTGTCCTCCTCCTCCTTGTCCTCCTCGTCCTCCTCCTCCCTCCTCCTCCTTCTCCTCCTCCTCCTCTCTCCCTCGCTCCCTCCCTCC